TCAATTTTATTTCTCACCAGCAACTAGATCAGGAATCGAAATACACTAGATGGCAAGAACCCCGGAAGTTGTAGACCGTGCACCAGCCAATCAGCGAAGAGCTGTGTGGTACAGCATAAGAGTAAACAAAGCAGTCGAAATGGATGTAGACGAAGCCATACATTCTGTGTTGGCAGTGATTCCCGAGTTTGGTGAATTTGATCAAGGGGAAAGACATTATTGCCCTTCTTCCTACGGGATTTGGGAAAGGCTTAATATATCAGTTAGCCCCGTTAGTGGCGTATTGCATACGTCACGACCAAATAGCAAAGATTGGTTAAATTAAAAAGTACCCGCCTTCCGTTGAGCAAACAAATCATAATGCTGCAAGGTCAGACAGTTTCCATGAAGTGAAACTGGCTGATAAATCAGGCTAAATTAATACTCCACACAGCTGTAAAGTTAAATTGAGTGTCTGGAAAAGCTAAGACAAATGCAATACTGTTAATAAGTTATACTGTAAGTAATGACTTTACAAATCCATTAACTTAAAATACATTATTAGTATTAGTTAAATATCAAGTGAAACCAAAAACCAACTGGATTTCTTTAATAGAGAAACCAGCCTGTGCTCTACACAGTAGGTCTTTAAAGATGCTGAATATATATAACCTGTGAAAATGAATATACACCACCTTTTTGTTTAAATTTTATGGTGACGTATGAGGTGTGAAATTACAAGGGGCAGCTAGAATACTTTGAGGAAGAATCAGATACTTTTTTAGATCTAAAGAAAGTATTTGGCTGCTTCTGAGTGCTGTTGAAAAGACGAATATGAGGAGGTGGAGGGTCTGGGGTCTGGGGATGTCGTTATGAGTCAGACAGAGAGAGAGAGACTGAGCAGTGGGCGCAGACAGGTACAACACATACTATGTCTCTAATTGGCTCTTTGTGCACCCCAGCATACTGCTCCTCTGTTGTATGATTTCTTCAACAGACAGTTACATTAGAATTTAAAGGGTTCATAAAGTCAAGATGGCATTAAGTAACAGGAATATCGAATGCTAAATGTTAAAGAAGAAGTGGTCTGTGCCTGACTTTAGAGTAGATCCTCTTCAATCCTCTTTAACGGAGACTATCTAGATGATACATTTCCAAATTCGACTCCCCGGGTGAGTTTCTTCCAGGCACACCGGTTTCCCTCATCAACTCAAATCACTGATCAAGCCAAGAGTCACAATTCTCCAGCTGAGGAGTCCTGACCAAGCCAAGCTCAAGATCAATCTCCAGGTGCTGATCTATGTAATAAGGTTATTTCCTCTTCAAAAACATACCTGGAGTTGTGTTTTGTTTCATTCACATATGCACACAAACACTGCATATTTAGGCTTCACCTTCACTAATCTTTTGGGTAACTTCAGGCCTGGAATTGCCAATTTCTACTGAACTAAATGAAAATTGCTTCATGACATCGCAAGGTGGAACAGAGCATTTCAAGCTCTGGAGATGTATACAGACTAATAAATAACAAAACACAAATCCAGGTATGTTTGTGAGGAGGTAACAACATTCCAACAGGGCTTAAAGCTCACAAGAGTCAATTTCACATAATATATGACCTTTAACCTTTGTGTTTATCACCACTAGAAAAGTAGAAGTGCATATTTGTTAAGAGTTTGAGTCAAAGTGTCCAAAACCCAGGGGGACCTTCTTCCTGTGAGGAGCAAGAGGGCTGCAAATCATAACCACTATTTCAGGGTTTATCTATCTTTTTATCTACTTTTCATCTATTACAGTAGTTAAACATTATCAGCAGAGGAAATTTCAATTATGCAAGCTCTTACTTCACTCATTGTAAATACTATACCAGGGTTATACTGTACATAAACCAGGGGTACTTTAAACATGTGATTTCATTCTGGGTTTCATTAAAGCTCATACAAAAGTCATGCTGCCACGTTGAGTGTACCCTCTGACGGTTTATGGCCCTATAAATCAGTGCGGGCGCATGTTTGGGCTTTGTACAGTAAATAAAACAGTGTGTCGCTCTATGGGCCTTAGGTCACAGGAAATAGCTATCAGGTGTCCCGGTCTGCTAAAGTGCATGGCCTCACACACACTTCTGGACATGACTGGTAATCTGTTACAGCTATTCACTTTTGAAATTGAGCAGTTTACAGGCATCATACTTTTAGTTCTACCTGAGTAATTTCTTTTTGGCACCAACTATTGACTATTTGCCCAATACTCCCACAGCATCTAAACTGGTACTCAACCAGGAAATAAGCCTGAACAAAAACATGACTAATCCAGTAGTTCAAGTCCAAAGCAAGACTAAACAGGTCATCAACCAACTGTGAACAAACCCTGTTTCACAGTGTTTCAGTTTCTTGCACTTCACTACATTTTCATTAAGTAATCATATTTTGGTGATTACTTTTTAACTTCTGCTTGAGTAATATTTTATTGTTGCAGTACTCTTACATGAATAACCTTTGGTCACTTCAGGATCAATAGACAGACATAACTGGCTTATATAATGAATGCATTGTATAATACCACTTGTATAGCTTATGACAGCAGGACAACTGTGCAGTTTCAAATGTCCCAAAGTGATTAAAGTGGTCCAACAAAAGAAGTGAAGCAAAAACAGTGAGAGTGACTCCCATGAGAGATGACACACCAAACATACGCCCTCTCAACTTCCTGTCAGCGTCCTGTGTTAATTCTGGCTCCAGCTTTAAGTATTATCAGAGAACATTATGGGGTCTGAAAGTGACCCAGGATTCAGTTTACTGTGTGACTAAAGGCAACGAACAAAAACAAATATGTGACAAGATGATAAACAACATAGACATAGTGGGAGAAAGCTGAGACTTCCATGGAAAAGTGTTAATCCAGAGAGGAATGACTATATTTGGGAAATAAATGTAATGGAACTGAAAGCATGATACATAACAGATACACATAAGTAGCCCCTGCATTTATAGTGTCATAATAAGTTTATGTTTGGTTGATAAAAGCCATCTATGCTATGCTATATTGTTGAAAGCAGGGAGCACATTTGTGTATATGCACAACAAAAAACAAAAGTTGTGGATCTGAGAACATACGCACCTTCAAATGATGTCACTAAGACTGAATGAAAGGTGCACTGGTTCAGAGTGTCTTCATAAGATTAGTACATTCTAGCTATTCTATTCTACATGTTTTCAATTACAGGTGTTTAAATTAACCTGGTGGCATCATCTTGTCTTCATGGAGATAGTTATTCCACAATATGAGATTAAACTTTACAATAAATCAGTGTCATCTCCATCTAGACAAGTGACTGAACCATCCAACACAAAAAGTAGTGCAAAATAAATGACAAATTAAAAGGAGAGCACTGGCAAAAAAGACCCCCACCAAGGCATGTGTGTAATGAATTTCCAAAAACACAAACCAACCAAAAATAACCAACAGGGCAGATTTAAAATATGACTGCATCCCAGCTGAAACCATACCAACTGCTACCATTAATCTGTTAATACAAACACTTACTAAAGGCTAAATATTTCCATAGTTAATGAACCGAGGCACGTATGACTCACGTCCTACTGGCCATCCCAAATATAAGGAACTCATGACATGGATGAAGAAGAAAATACGTCTCACACACACAGACACACACAAAAACTTCAATCCATCACCATCCCAACATGTTACATTCAGTGTGCAGTCAAATAGCGCGTGATACAAGCCTGAACGAATGGCCTCGCAGCTGTCACAGGGCTCAGTGATGTTCTCCATGTTCACAGTGCTAAATAGTTGGATGATTAAAGATGGAAAAGTCAGCTCCACGTGTGTGCGACCAACACGTGTAAGGGTCATTAACGGTCACTCTAAAGACCCGTCTAATGATACACACAGTTAAATGCAATGACGTAATGAGAACCTTGAAGTCATTTTGATTTTGACCAGACACTTGAACATGCCACCGCAGTGGAAGTACAGTACAAAACCACAGCAGTGTATTTTTAGAGGGATATGCACAGTTCTGATTTGTAAGTTCAGGTGAGCATGTGCGTCTTCCAGTAGTGTCATAGAAAGACACTCCATTTAGCAAAGGGATTGAGCGTTTCTTCACATCCACACATACATTCTAGATACCTGTAAAATTGACTATATTCTCAATTTGAAGTCTGTGTGAAAAAGACAATAGTTTTAAATTATATTAGCGATGATGACAGGTTGCAGGTTTAGGGGTTGTTGTTAAATTATTTGCAAATCATTTAGCAAAAACATCAAACTAAATATTAGCATATAGGATGTAGGATTTACAGGATAAAATGTTTAGCTTTCGTGGTCCCTACTTTCCTTGATGTAAGCACTTCTATATTCTAACATAACACCACTAGATGCTATCTACTTTACAAAAGAAGACCAGAGAGCACAGGGCAGGTGAGGGGAGGGACAACATTTTTCTGTCTTCTACACCTGTCGTCTACTAGTAAAAAATCAAATTACTTAAAAATGGTAGCAGACTACACAAGCCAATAAGCTTCACTGAGTGGCACATTTAGGCCTATTATTCTTAAGATAAAAATAATATTTTATAAATAATAACTAATAGGCTAAGTAATTTCCTAAAAATTAAAATAAAGAAATAAATAATGAATGAAGAATGTAGAACAATAATGAAAATACTCAGGTTTAGGTCATTTAATTTAGGCTGCTTCACTATTCAGTTTGAGACAGTATTCAGTTTGTTTCAATGGTTCTGTTCTAGTAAAAATCTCCTCATATTTCATAGAATTAGAGTAAACTAATTAATTAAAACTTTTATTCAATACATCTGCTAAAAACAAAGTTTATGTAGGTTTAACTGGCTATATGAAAAAACTGTGCCTGAGGAAGTTAGATAATTAAGTTAGATAATTAAGTGCACTGATTTCCCCGCGAGGTGAATTTATTGGGATGACCCATGGATCTGGTTTTAGCGCGCGCTCTGCTCCTCGGTGTGCACGATCTTACAGTTCTTTGGCGTACACGCAGTCCCTAGAGTGGAGGAGACGCTAGCGGGTGAAAGGTCGCGATGATCGGCCGCAGTATGTGAAGTGTGTTGTGGGAAATACACTGGGACCGAGTACGGACCATGGTTTCCTTCAGTGCATCCGAGATTTCCAGCGAACTTTGAATTGGAGCGTAACGTTTCACATTTCAAGTCTACAAGTCTGCACAAGTACGAGGAAACGCCTACATTTTATTCAGTGCGACACTTTAAATGAAGTCGTGTCAGCGGGTGATCTGAGGCCGCCCCGGTGTTCTCATGGAGGGTCCAAGCTGATTTCAGCCTTTTCCTCCTCCCCTCGGCTGCAGCCGATCCAGGCGAGAATTTCGGCATCTTAAACACCCCTACTGTTGTGCTTTAATAAAAACAACACAACGCGCAAGTTTTACAGAATTCCACCCGTTTCAAGGCAAACAGGAGACATCTTTGGTTACAAGGCATCAGGAGAAACGATTGGAATGAGCAGTAAGTCAGGACTCCGTTTGTTGTAACTATTATATATGTACATATGTTGATTGAACGGAAGACAAAAATGAGAAAGCTGGGACTCAGTAGGCGGAGTCTTTCGCACCCGCTGGACTCTACGCAACTTGCGTAGTGCGCATACAGCGCATTTACTCCTTAGCGTAAATATCACGTTCTGATTAGTTAAATATGTTTGCACAATATGGCACACTGCCGTGCCTCGATCCGTCCCTCCTCCCTCCTGAACACCTCTCAGCGACAGCATGAGGACAGGACAGGTGCACATTCACTACACTTACTCTCGCAAATGCGTATACTGTCATGCATGTTAATGAGAAGTGCATTCAAATACATACAATCAAATGCACTATAAAACAGGTAACAGTGTTCTGGAAGTTCTTCTCCCGAGCCCCTCTGATGATGATAAAGCATTCTTGTTTATTTGTTGTGGCTATTGGTGTTGTCAGCCTCTATAAATGCCTTTGTGCTTTACTGTCTGATGTGGGTAGAACAGATTTAGTACAGATGATGATATCTGAAGAAGGTCCTGGATTTGATTCTGGAGTGGGACGTTTCTGTGTGGAATTTTCAAGTTCTCCCCATGCCTGCGTAGGTTTGCTCTGGGTGCATGTAAATCACAACATTTTAAAATGTTACTAGACCCTCACAGCTGTTGCATCACCAGTCTTTCTGAAGGCATTATATTGTGTAGAGAATGACTTGGGCACACTTTAACTCAAATAACTACAACATGTGTTTTTTCAGACTGAGGTTGTTAAAGAAAAAAACGGCTTGTGAAAGAGTAAATACAGGGTCCAGAGAGTACTCTGGTGAAAGACCCATAACTGATGAACTCAGCTACTTAATTCATTAACTGCTGAAAAAATCTTGTCTTTGTTGTTAGTCAGCCTTACATAACTTCCAGACATGTTTGCGTATGAACACCCCAAAAATCATGATGTGAACTGTATAAAGAGGCATTCCATAGAGATTAACATCTTACATAATGATGTCTGTAACTTATTTACCAATAAAGGCAGCCTTGGAGCAACACTGAACTTCATTGATCATGTTTTTTATGTCAGTTGTCAGCATCGGTATGCAGAACAGTGGAGTGCTGCATGATACAGTGACAATGTGTACATTTAAAATCGTAATAACCTAAAAGTGATGTTGATGTTTTGCTGTATTTCAGGAATGACAACTTGTCTTCATATGAAGGGCATGGGTTTGCTCTTCATTCTCTGTCTGATGGGCTTTGCTCCATCCTGTGATGGAGGAAACATCTTGGTGCTTTCTTTAGATGGCAGTCACTGGGTCAACATGCAGGTGTTGTTGGAGGAGCTACATGCTCGTGGACACAGCATCACCATCTTACGCTCCAGCGGCAGCTGGTACATCAAAGAACAGTCTGATGTGTACTCTACAATCAACCTTCCCTCAAAGATGGACTTAAAAGATTTTGGTGTATTTTTAGAAAGGCAATTTCAGGTATGTATCTCTTATAATATCTGATACTGAAAGACCTATTTCTTATACTGTTATATGTATTGTTTCCAGGCGCAAGTGGAGGGAATTAGTGCTCTAATCTCCCTGGCTCCTGAATTTCTTTCCATTATTATGAAGCTCCATGAAATGTGGCGTGGGGATTTGATTTATATATTTAATAATAAAACACTTCTCAAAGAATTAAAAGATACCAAATACGATCTGATGCTCACAGATCCTGGAGTGGGAACAGGGGTGATCCTGGCCAGATACTTAAAGCTGCCATTGGTGCTCAATACTCGCTGGTTCCATGCTCTGGATGTCCACTTTTTATTTGCTCCATCTCCTCTATCTTATATCCCAGTGACGGGCTCAGGATTGACAGACAAAATGAGCTTTTTTCAGAGAGTTCAAAATGTGCTTTACTACAGTGTGGCACTGGCTCATGAGTACTTAGTCACTCCAAGTTACAATGCTATCTGTGAAAAGTATGTTGAGGAGGGGTGTAATATTGTCAAGCTTATGCAGGATGCAGATATTTGGCTCTTTAGGTCAGATTTTGTGTTTGACTTTCCTCGACCCACAATGCCTAATGTCATTTACATCGCGGGGTATTCATGCAAACCACTGAGGGCTCTGTCTGCAGAGCTGGAGGACTTTATGCAGAGTGCCGGAGAACATGGAGTCATTGTTATGACTATGGGATGTTTTGTCAATGCATTGCCAATTAAGAAGGCTGAAGAAATAGCCAGTGTTTTCTCTAAACTGCCTCAAAAGGTAAGTACTCGTCGGCTCAGAATTGTTAAAAAAAAAAAAAAAAGTGTATCTCCAGTGTTGAATCTTTTACAGGTGATCTGGAGGCACTTGGGTGCACGACCCTCTACACTGGGCAACAACACTCTGTTAGTGGACTGGATGCCTCAGAAGGACCTGCTGGGACACCCTCAGACCAAAGTCTTCGTGGCCCATGGTGGGACCAACGGCGTCCAGGAGGCCATCTACCACGGTGTCCCGGTGCTGGGTATCCCACTGTTCTTTGACCAGTTTGATAACCTGCTTCGTCTGCAGGACAGGGGCGCAGGAACAATCATAAGACTCAGTGAGCTGAATGGAGACACTTTTGAGAAGGGCCTGAAGGAGCTGCTCCACCAGGAGCACTACAGGGACAACATGCAGAGACTGTCCCGTCTGCACAGGGACCAGCCCCTGTCCTCCATGGACCAGGCTGTGTTTTGGGTGGAGTACGTGATTCGCCATAAAGGGGCTCCTCACCTGCGTACACAGGCCTATCAGATGCCCTGGTACTCCTTCTACAGTGTGGACGTGCTGCTGCTGCTACTGTCTGCTGTCACTGGGACAGTGCTCTGTGTGGTGGCTCTGTTCAGACTCCTGTGCTGTAGGAACAGAACTAAGATCAAACAACAATGACCGGGTCAAATCATAAATGTATAATTTTAATATACATTTTTTATGTATATAATACCACTATCTTTGTGAGTCCCAAAGGAAACAGTGATTTTCCATTTCAATCAAACTTTATCGATAAAGCAAAATGCAAAATTATGTAACACAAATTACTTGGTTGTTAATTGTGGTTACTACAACAATCCTATTACAAACCAAACTATAAGTTAAATATGGATTTAAATTGATATGAGATGTGTATATTTCAGTGTCCAAATTTGGTGTAATAATAATGTAACATTGAGTTACAGATGAGATTTATGATCAATATTTTGATATATTCTTGTTTGTAAAGTGCCTTTGAGTGTCCATAAAAGCAATATATTAGTTAGGGTGTATTATTATGAGTTATTACTGCAGTATTTATCTTTATATTTATCTATGACATCTTGGCTGAAATTGCAATAGAAACTTTGCCTATAATTACTTTTTTTGCTACTTTCCCACATGTCCCATTAATCCAAAGTTGTCTTCTCTGCAGTCAAAAATGCTCTGTTTGCGTTTGCTAAAATTGTTGCATCACAGGTAAAAATGCACAGTTTTTAGTCCATGAGCCATCTATGGACATCAGTCATTCTGCTGTGAGATTGTGTTTGCAGCAAACACATGACATTCACCTGGCCTAAGGGCTTAATATGTTTATTATCTAATCGATTTCAGTTGCTGAGCAGTAATTCATCATTTATACCAATGCGTTGTACAGACATATGTGGAACAAATGACTTTCAGAGTCTGTGGAGCAAGGCAGGGACAATGGCCTGTCCCCAAAGCTGCTCTCATCCAGTGATGGTACTGTGCTGGGGGCCCTCTTCTCAGCCACAGATGTGACTGAGTTAAACTCTGCACCCACCACAGATCCTGCCTTCCTCACAAGCTTATCCACCTGCACGCCATCCTTCTTCATGAGTGCCACACCACAAACTCCTCAATGTGCTACCTGTAGTCCTCTTTGTCACTGTTCCTGACACACCCTACAATGGTTGTGTCATCATCAGAGTACTTCTGCATGTGACACAACTCTGAGTTGTATCTAAACTCTGACATGTACAGGGTAAACAGAACTGGTGACAGTACAGTCCCCTGTGGAGCTCCAGTGTTGCAGACAACAGAGGTGCTGTCCCCCAGTCGGGTATACTGATGTCTCCCAGTGAGGTCACCTGTAATCCAACTAATGAAAGAAGAATCCACTTCCATCTTGATCAGTTTGTTTTTGAGCAGCAGAGGTTGGATGGTGTTAAATGTGCTGGAGAAGTCAAAAAATGCCATCTTCACAGCACAAGATGAGAGAGGCACCTGTGGAGCAAGTAGAGTACAGTGTCATCCACTCCCACTTTTTCCCATTATATATATCCCAATATATTTCTCCCAATAGTCACCATACTCATGATGCAATTATATATGATGCAATTCTCTCTCTCTCTCTCTCTATATATATATATATATATATTATATATATATATATTATATACATATATATATATATATATACATACACACACACACACACACACTTTTTTTTCTTGTTGGTGGTCTTCTGTATAATGTTCTCTTGCTTCAAAATAGAGTTGGTGTTCTCCGTGGAGGTCAGAGCCTCAGGTAGCTCCTGTCTGTATCTTCTGCTCCAGGACCAAAGCCTTCTGCTCCTCAGCTCTCTGTACAGTCCTTAGCTGTTCTGCATGGATGTCCTTGAGGTTCTCCATCTCCTGTTTTAAAAAAATACATTTTCAGTGTTTATCAATAGTGCTGTAAATAATGGCTCAAGCTGTTCTTGGTTTGAACCAGAGCAGAGACAAAAGCAGTTCTGGAGAGGAGGACCCATTTCTCTTCACTGAGGGTTGAGCTGAGTTCTTTCACTACAGACTCCACCCACGTCCTGCAGGGTCTGAGGTTTCTCCTCACCTTCTCTGGTGGTGCTCCTCTGCTCTGTCGGGACAGATGTGAGAGTAGACTTGTGTTCTTCAGCTCCTGTCTCTCTATCTTCTGCTCCTCCACTTTGACCTCAGCCTCTCTGGTGGTTCTCGACTCCTCAAGGCAGGTCTAGAGAACACGTTATCCTTCAGCTCCTGTCTCTTTCTTCAACATCTCCATTTGACAGTAAGCCTCTGCAATGATGGTTCTCTGCTCTGTCACAACAGATGTTATCAGAAGAAATGAATAAAAAGCCATTTCATTTAAATATCATTCACAGTGACATTTAAAAGTGTCAAATTTAACTTGGACGTGTCTTTTTTCTGGGATCTGATTGTTTGTACATTTCAACTCATCTGGTCTATTATTTATACTAAGAATTTTATAAATAATAAGCACCAGACAAGCCTCAGACATGAATATTCTCTGTGTTACTTTGTGACAAGTTGGAAATATGGTTAACACTCTTTTTGTTAAGCAGTGGCACATCATAGCAAAGTGAAAGGAGCTGCCATACGCTCAACATGTTGCTGCAGAGTCATGTCAGGCCCAAGCTAGCCCCATTCACACATAGTTCTCAGGAAAATGTAGTGGTGGAAGATGTACTAAATTTTGTAAGTAGAAGTACAGACAGCAAAGCAAATACTCAAATACTCAAGTAAAAGTAAAAAGACGTAAAAGACCTAAGTACAAGTATACTCATGAGCTGCAGAGGCACTGATTAACTACCTTTAGAGTAAAAAGTGTAGTCTGTGACCCAAACAAAGCTTCAAATGTCATGATTTTGATATTGATTTGTACTAAATATTGTTCAACAGAAACAACTGAATGATTATTCTTTTCCAAGCTGTTTTTATTCGTATATTTTTGTTGGCTCAAATTTTGACCTTGCTTTAAAAAAAAAAAGTCCTTGCAGGGTTTTCAGCAGGTCTCACACAATAATAAAAACTGAAAGTAAAAATATATTCAAAAATGTAATGGAGTAGAAAGTGCAAAAACTTGGTCTGAAATATAGTAAAAGTAAAAATATCCACTATAAACTGTAGTTGAGCAAAAAAGGTATCTACTTATATTAAATACCAGAGTTGGGACCAAGTCATTGTTTTGCAAATCTCAAGTCTCAACTCTTTGACCTAAAGTCTGAATCAAGTCCTGAGTCAAATACAGGCAAGTCCAAGCCTAGTCTTAAGCCACCGGCCCATAAGTCCAAGTCAGGTCCAAGTCATCTGCATTGGGCTTCAAGTCATTTCAAGTCTTTAAACCTAAGTACCAATTTATATTACTTTTAAGTTAAATTGTTCTTAAAAGTCATGGTATATTTATGAGTTTTTTATAAGAATTGTAGAAATGTTAATTTTTCCTTTTTAAATGTCTTGACAAGATCTTAGGGCAAATCATTATGGTCAGAATAGAAGAATTACAATTTAAGAGTGCTTAATAACTTCACTTATTTTGTCAAGTAGTCTGCACTGAAAAGGAAGAATCACGTTCTTGTAGTTCCCTCTGTTTTACTGTATTGTACTGTATGTTACTGTAAGACATTTGAGTACAGATACAAGTCCTAGTATGACATTTTGGCAACCTACTATCTAGCTGGCAGTAGGACCCAGCAGATGTGTGGTGTTGTAACACTGTTCTCTTGATAAACTAGTCAGTTCAGGGAAACCGTGAGAGATTTTGGGGTTGGTTTGACAGAGGCACAGGAAATACACTGAAGACATAAAAAGGTTTTTCTCCTTGGTGTTAAATACCTTATTTTAAGTCTACACAAACTGTAATTCTAAATTGTTATTCATGTTATATGCTTTGCTGAACAGGAACTAACAACAGGAGCTATCAGGAGCTATCATTCACACTGTTGGCGCACTTCATTGTGAGTACATGTTAAAGATATCTGTTCACGCTCAATGCCTAGAATACAGACTTAAAAGACAGTATATGATCTATGCTACTCTGGACCATTTATAACTTTTCAAATGTTTGGTATACATTAATGTGTCACCAGGCATACTAAGGTAAAAAAATAAGCCATCCTTGTGATTTGAGTTATTAAATAAGGCTTGTCTATGATCCTTAGATGCCCTAACTTCTATTCCAGGGTCATTTTAGTTCAGCTGTACACACAATTAGACAAGAGAAGGATATTCTTTAACATAAGTTTAACCCTTGTGCACCACTTTAAAGTAATCACACCTGTGGTACTTTGCCACAAAAATGTACATTTGAAAAGAAAACGATATTATTTTTATGCAATACAGATTTGTCTTTTTTCTTTCTTCATTTACTTCTGCCCAAATCATGCATACCAAAAATGCAAATTTTTACAGCAAAAGTGTCAAATTACATTCATGGAAAAAAAAAAAAAAAAAAAAGATTTTTTTTCTATATCTTTGAACACATTTTCAACTAATTTTAATTTGTTTGTGTTGGGGTTATCACAGGCTGGGGATGCCATAAAATAGTGCTTACACTGATTTTTAATTTTGTATTTTTTTTTGGCACAAAATGACATTCCCCCTGAAAGCCCCATTGACTTCCATTATAAATGCACATTTTTTGTTGCACTGACATAACAAGTATCATAAATTGTGGATTTTTACAAGTTTCTCCTGTTAAGAAAAGGTAAAATTAGTGATTTTTACAATTCAAACCCAACTCACCCCATTACATCTTCTGCAGACCTCTATGCAGGTTTCCTATGCTTTTCTATGGCGTTTATGGGATTTACAGTGATTGTCCCTATGTGTATTTAGTAGGGTTCTGGGGGTTCTGACGGAAAACATTGAAAAATACATTTATATATGTTTTACCTTTATGTTTAAATATGTTTATCAATAGAGGCATAAAAAATAAAAGATATATACACCTGAAAATGTACACACACAGAGGCACACACAAACTCACACAAACTCCCAAACACATTCAGTGCACTGTAGGACTCCTCTAGAACACACTCATATCATTTTAACCTCAAATATCTATGTCTTTGGCCTTCATTCTGGACTAATATGAACAAATGTCTTTGTGTTGATGTAACTTTGGAAGGTACACAGTAAAAAGAAAAATATCAAAAAATTCAAAAAGACACTAAAACGAAACATTTTTGAAAGGTTTTCAACATCAAAGAATGAAAAATAAATAAAAAGTAAAAATATACCTGCAAAGTAAAAAAATCTGTTTTGAATGGAAGTCAGTGGGACATAAATGTATTTATGTATCTATTTTGATTATAGTGATTACAGAGTATATTGATTCAATTAATGTGATATTAAAAAAAAACTTCACTACATCATATATATATATATATATATATATATATATATATATATATATATATATATATATATATATATAATGCTATTTGGTGCAATATAGCCAAAGTTAGCCAAAATATTGTTATTTATTTTACATGCATTATATCTTTTGACACGTGCCACATATAACTCACTAATCTTTGCAGTGCAGGGACTTTGACCTGGAGTTTGAGTTCAAACGCAAAGAAGAATCAGGTTGAACCTCCATGAGTGAGAAGAGAGAGGACAGGCAGAGACCACAGGTATGTAACACCTTGTGTGGTTCTAAAATTGATAAAATGATATGTGCCATGCCATTTATAATGTTTTTATATTAAACTTTGTCTTGGTAAAACTACTTGCTCTGACCAGCCAATGACAAACAAAATTAGCATGAATCGTCTTGTCCCCTTTTTTCTTGGGCAGACAATTGAGAAGGCGGCTAATTGTTGTTTGATTTGTTCTGACCTTCCAGCTTTCAAAAAGAAATTTGGAGGGGCTGACTTTATAAAGCAGTTTGTGATGCAAATGAAAATGCAGTTGTTTTCTGTTCTTTTAGACAAAATGTACAAACATTATGGGATAGCCTGCCTCTTGTCTCTATATATGATGTCTTTGGTATCACCTTGTGATGGAGGGAACATCCTGATATTTCCGGTGGATGGCAGTCACTGGATCAACATGAAGGTGCTGATGGAGGAGCTTCACTCTCGCGGACACAAGATGACTGTGATACGAGCCTCCAACAGCTGGTACATCGCCGAGCAGTCCCCTCTCTACACCACTATCAACCTCGAGATGGAGAATTCCTTCGAGGACTTTTTTGACATCTTTCTTAAGGAGCAAATTAAGGTACAAAAATCATTTGATTACTGGAATTTCTACTTATTTCATGTGTGACATTACATGACAATTACATGAAAAATATGAAAAGTCCATGCAGAATTTTCATGAATTCTCTGATATAATTAATAATTAATAGTGTGCAAAGTTGCCTTACATAAAAGAGGTTATAAACAGCTCGTAGATCATTGTGGCACAACCCTTTAGCACTAAAACTCCGTGTGTCCTGTTTGTATAATCTTGTAGAAGGTCTCTAAAGTTCATTCCTGTGCTCCTTCCAGGCGCAGAGAGAGGGGGCCTCAGCCCTCACGTTTCTCAAACTCACCAAAGATTTTCTGCACATGATCAGCCAGGCTCATGCCATCTGGTGTAAAGCCGTGGAAAGTATACTGGAAGATGATAAAATGGTCAAGAGTTTATTGGACGCAAAATATGACTTGATGCTCACGGATCCTGCTGTAGCACCAGGAGTGGTACTGGCAAAGTATTTAAAACTGCCCATAGTTTTAAATGTTCGCTGGGTAACAAGTGGTGATGGACAGTTTCTGCTAGCTCCTTCCCCTCTGTCTTATATCCCAGTGCCGGGATCAGGATTCACAGACAAAATGAGCTTCTTACAAAGAGTTCAAAATGTACTTTATTACAGTATTGTACTCGTTCAACAGTATGTTTTAGTTGGGCCAAGCTATGATGCCCTCTGCAAGAAGCATATTGAGGGTGGATGTGATATCATCTCACTTCTGCAGGATGCAGATATTTGGCTCTTCAGATCAGATTTTGTGTTTGACTTTCCTCGACCAACAATGCCTAATGTCATCTACATGGGAGGGTTTCAGTGCAAACAGAGCCAGCCTCTGTCTGCAGAGCTGGAGGACTTTATGCAGAGCGCTGGAGAACATGGAGTTATTGTTATGACTCTGGGCACTTTAGTTCATGCTTTTCCCACTGATTTGGCTGATGAAATAGCCAGTGTTTTTGCTAAACTGCCTCAAAAGGTAAGTACTCATTGGCTCAGAATTGTAAAAAAAAAAAAAAAAAAAAAAAAAAAAAAAAAAGTGTATCTAAAGTGTTGAATCTTTTACAGGTGATCTGGAGGCACTTGGGTGCACGACCCTCTACACTGGGCAACAACACTCTGTTAGTGGACTGGATGCCTCAGAAGGACCTGCTGGGACACCCTCAGACCAAAGTCTTCGTGGCCCATGGTGGGACCAACGGCGTCCAGGAGGCCATCTACCACGGTGTCCCGGTGCTGGGTATCCCACTGTTCTTTGACCAGTTTGATAACCTGCTTCGTCTGCAGGACAGGGGCGCAGGAACAATCATAAGACTCAGTGAGCTGAATGGAGACACTTTTGAGAAGGGCCTGAAGGAGCTGCTCCACCAAGAGCACTACAGGGACAACATGCAGAGACTGTCCCGTCTGCACAGGGACCAGCCCCTGTCCTCCATGGACCAGGCTGTGTTTTGGGTGGAGTACGTGATTCGCCATAAAGGGGCTCCTCACCTGCGTACACAGGCCTATCAGATGCCCTGGTACTCCTTCTACAGTGTGGACGTGCTGCTGCTGCTACTGTCTGCTGTCACTGGGACAGTGCTGTGTGTGGTGGCTCTGTTCAGACTCCTGTGCTGTAGGAACAGAACTAAGATCAAAGACAAGATGCATTGATCAGAGTTCACATTTTTCACTTGAGCCATTCAAAGCAATTGCATTTCTGGCTTCTTTTTTGAAGCAAATTTAATAGGTAAAACCAAATGTATGTTTATGCAAGAAATAAATGTTCTATCAGAGATCTATTTTCAATATAAAATGTTGTATTTGTATTTTCTTGTATTTTATTCTTTAGCTCAATTTTCCACAACAAGGCAATTATTATTATTATTATTATTATTATTTTTCATTATTGTTTTATTTTTTATTTCCCCTCCAACTTTAATCTGCTGTATTTCTTATAACTGAGATAGACAAATAGTTTGTTCTTGGGCATAGCGACAGTATGCATTAGTGTATGCTCCTGGTTCAAGGGCAAACATTTTACCCTTTCTTGACTATATAATTTATACTCTGGTTGTGATTTTACTTAAATTTTTTTCCTGAAACAATTAACATCTGGAAGAGCGTAATCCCAGAAAATCCCAAGATCATACGGTTTGAGTTATAAGATAAGTGAGACTGACCTGTTAAATACATGTACAAAGCCATTTACATGACCACTGAAAACTCAACTGATAATGGAAGCCATTTATAGATTTAGCTATCTTATATCTTATATCTCTATCTTAAATATTTTCAATGCAATATGAGCACACCAGTGATTGATTCATAATAGATTTTTACAAATCTTTGAATATCCAAAGGTTTCAGAGTTATGAAAAATAGGCGCAATTGTCAAAGCAATTAACTATTCCAAACGCATCTTTTGAAAGGTGAAAAATACTTACAATAAAATTGTGCTTTTAAACAGAAATCAGAAACTCATGAATAGTGAAATAATGTAAGACAGCATGGTTGTTTGTAGTGTGTCAGTTCTTAGTCCAATCCAGTCCAGTGAATTATAATAAAACTCCCTTAAGCAAATAACAGTTCCTGTTCCTGACAAGTCCCAAGAGAAATGTCCACACTAAAGCATAACTTCAGAGGGTTACTCCATGAGATACACTGATAGAAACTTTTTTTAATCCTGGTAAAAAATCATAATTATGATTATGTGTCTTATGATTTATCACAATTCATTCAAACTATTATTATTATTATGTGACATTGTAGATTAAATGATTAAGGGGCAGTGAAAGCACATCAGAAATTCTGAACAGAAGTTCATTAACTGACAATATTATTGACAAACAATAGAGGGGGCTAAAAAACTGCATGCAAATAAATATAATAATCACAAAAAAGACATTTTGCAGGCAACTACAAATATTAGTAAGATATTGAAACAAGAAACGCCCACTGAGGCAAGAGGAATCTGTGAAGGCCCGCAGTGTTTGTCAAAATCCTTCAGTAGCCTATATCGTGATACTTTTGAATATACTATTGTGTTGACTCATAAAAACTTGAATGAGTCCATTTTGGACCAACAGAACAGGAGCAGAGGTAAGACTTTTCAGTTTGTCTACTTTGGGACTGACACTTAAATTGACAGTTAAATGGTGGCCAGGCTGGCGCCACCTAGTGCCTCCGCCCAATTTCATTTCTCTCCAGCAAATAGGTAAGGAATCAAAATACACTAGACCAGGGGTGCTCAATACGTCGATCGCGATCTACCAGTCGATCGCCAAGGTCGTGTGGGTAGATCGCCGTGTCTCGTCTCGGGCTCGCGTTTGGACTCGGTCTTGTCTCTCACTCAAGGTCTGACACTCAACAAGTGCGATCATATTTCATTACGGCTGCTGCTGTTGGTAATAAACTTGTAGCGGGGTGCAAGAGCGTGTGGGGCGTCTCAGTGCAGACTGTGCACTCAGTGCAGCCCGCGGAGACTCTACGGCACATCACAAACACACACGCTCCCTACGCACGGCTCGTCTGCAACAGCGTGTGCCCTCGTGTACCAGCGAGCATCACAGGGCAGATTAAACTTCCTAAACATCCTACCTGTCCATCTGCCCACGTCAGCACGCCGCCCCTCGCCTTTTCACGCTCTCGCTCCTTCCTGCGTACAGCGAACACAAGCCCCTCCCACAGTGCGGCAGATTAGAAGAGCAATACCAAACGTGAAGCAAAAACGAGTCTAAATTTGTGTTCCAGTGTTGGCACAAAGCAGGTCTACAGCATAGAGCAGATCTACAGAACAGACCTACTGCCACATTTGGCTTAAGTTTGTCTCACAAAAGTGTACAAATGCATCTGTGTTTGTCACGATGTGCGTTTGGTTTGGTAAACGTGCAGAGGCTGGTAAATATCACTGCAAAACCAGAAAAGAATGCAGCTCCAGTTTGGAACTTTAAAAAACAGGTTTTAAAAATCTTCCTTCACTTTTTTCACAGTTTTTGTGTAAAGTGCCAGAGGAAGTTCTCTTAAAGAAGGGGTTCTCAAACTGTGGGTGAGGGTCCAAAAAAGGGGCACAGAGTGTTTCAGTGCAGTTTGCTTGGCTTTGTATTAGGTAGATCTTTATGACTTGGTCATTTTGTAAGTAGCTCGCATGATGAAAAAGTGTGAGCATCCCTGCACTAGACGGTTCGCAAAGGGCCCGGAATTGCATGTTCAGGCACTGGGCCAATCAGTGAAGAGCCATATATTCTGTGTTGTCAACAATTCCCAAGATTGATGATTTAAAGCCGGAATAAAGAGAATGTTTGGTGAATTTCATCAAGGGGAAAGACGTTATTGCCCTTCTTCCTACGGGATTTGGGAAAAGCTTAATATACCAGTTAGCCCCGTTAGCGGCGCATTATATATGTGACTACCAAACAGCAGCAACTGGTTAAATGATAAAAAGTACCGCCTTCTGTCGAACGAATTCTAATGCTGCGAGGTTAGATGGTTTGAAGTGAAACCGGCTGATGAATCAGGCTAGTTAAATGGAGCATCACACTTGAACATACTATGAACTCAGCGTTTGTTTTGTAGAAAATCACACTTTAAGTTTCCAGCAATGTAAAGCACAGCTGTATTTACCTTTGTAACTTACATATTTGCTGATTTATTCCCTGGGTTGTTCGTCTGGAATTTTGGGGGTGTGTATTAAATGAATGGGAGTCTATGCAGCATTAGCTTGCTGTTATCTAAACTCATCCATGTGCGTGTAATCCCTACTTCCTCATAAATGTATGTCCCAGTTTATTTTAAAGCCAGCACAGACTATGTTTAATAAGCAGGAATCAGATCTGCTTGTAAACTATGCCACAATGCCACGATGCCTTTGTGCTGTGACCGTGGGGTTTGGGGGACGCTCCGCCGGTGGCTGAGCTGCTGCTGCTGCTGAGCTGCTGCTGCACTGCGCCGCAATAACACCATCACTATGGGGTTCGTGCTATGGGCACATGGATCTATAATGGATCTAGAGGCGATTGCCCGCACGCGCGCTGCTCAAATGCATTGGACGCACAAATGCGCGAATCTGATTGGTCAGATTTCTCACATAGACTGAATGGAGCCGATAGGTTATTTCCAGATCGCCAGAAGCAGCTCAGTGGCGCTGAAGCGCAGAAAAGAGAAACCAATTAAGTCAGTGGTGTGGTGGGGATTTTTTAAGTGGGGGTACGTGATTCGTGACGTCATCGATGACATCCCCACTCATTTCCGAATTGGATATTTTGCCAACAACGGCCACTATAGAGAATGTAATACACAAAGATCAGAGCAAGTAAAAATGTGCGAACTGTGTTGCTCCACAGTGAGTCAAAATTGGAGGTGCGTACATATGTTCGAACACTGGGACCTGTACGCACAGAGAGGTCCCGGTGTTCCCCATGTTCACGTAGCAACCAGCATTATTTTTAGGCTATTTGTTAACCAAATAGTACTTTTATGACAATAGGAAATAGCCTATTCAACTGATTCAACTTAAAAATGCCCTGCTTTTAGCCTAGTGTGAGATATGCTACAGTCATGAGGGGAAAGCGAAAATGTGTAGTCGACTACAGGTCGGAGCAGGTGGCTCCGGTCCGTGCTCAAGGACTGCGGTTGGTTCCAAAATGGTGCAAAGTATCCAAACAGAAGTGCGAATCCGATTTGGTTGGTTTGGTTGTTCCGAGCGGTCCGTCCTCCACACACTTGGTTCTTCTCGGAGAAAGTGCTTCCCAGGCCGAGATATAACTCCCACTCCAGCTCATCTGAGCCCAGCCTGAACCGGAGCTGCTCCCGCTGCGTCTGAAGTCTGGTTTGTAGTCTGACTGTAGCAGAGCAAAGAGGACAACACGGAACCGTTTGGGCCCAGTGCACTGCGCGCTCGTCCCCGTCTGGAACTACCACATGGAGGATGGAGCCTCCGGATCTATCTGAGCAATATGCTGGACTTGAGAGCAAGAGAGAACCCAAGGAGCAGGGTGTCTGCGAAGCACGATCGGGCGACGGCTGCGCTGAGTCTTGTGGGGCGTGGTGCTCTGCTCTGGTTTAGTCTTGTTTAGTCCTGGTTCAGGTCACTAGGACAGTACTGCAGATATCATGAGCCTATGCAGGTTGTTTTCACCTTTGCCAATAGCTTTGGTTTGACATTTAAGTAGTAGCTATAGTTTTTTTATATATATATCTCATGTCGGGAGAAGTGGGTGGACCGTACCGCTGCGTACCACGCCCATTACATTCCTATTTTATTAGCTATATTTTCTTGTGATTTATGTTATTTATAGTCAACATTTATGTAATATTTAAAGACTAATATTGCCTAACTATCTAAAATTGGAATGTTCAATTGTTTTACAAATTTGCATGATTGAAAGGGAGAGCGGTGACCCATCACCCATTATGGACCAGCCGCTAACTAATCACAAATGCTCACATTATTGTAATTGAGTAGATTTTTTAGGTCTTTTTTGCCCGGCAATTCCAGAATGGAATTTCTCTGTATTTTTTATACAGATTTTATACAGTCTGGTCCTTACATCTTTGATTGTCCTTAAGTTAGTGTCCCTACTTGGCTAATGGAGCGATTCAGCGGTGACCAGACTTACGAATGTTTGGACCTGAGGTAAGGGTTTTTTGAGCAGATTTTTGCACCTGTACTTGTTACCATACACTGAGTATAATTCTAGCCTTGTTATTGTATAGTTACATTTTAAATAATCAAGTTACGTGAGTACACTACACGTCCCAACTGTCCAAATCCATGGCTGTCTGCTCCTTTCCACCCTGACCAACTCAAAGTTACATAAGAGCACTGCTGCTGCTCGAACTGGCCAGAGCTCAGCGAATAAACAAATTCAGTTCTTTGTAACTGAGCAAGTTTTATCTAAAATCATGAGCTAAAATGCTACCATAGTGGTGTTAAAAAGTAAGTAACTTGTACTCTGAGAATATATGTGTAGCCTACTTTTTACTTTCACTTAAGTATAATTTTGACAGCAGTACTTGTACTTCAAATTGATCACATTATTAGCCATGTGACTGTACTTCTATTTGAAATGTTAAGTTCTCTTTCAACCACAGATTTTAATTACAAGAAATGAATAGAGTATAACTGAAATCATGGTTATACATTTGATCAAAGCACAGCCCTAAATTCACCCTTTCTCTGCAGATGACTTCTGGCCTGCAGCAGTGTTGTCTACAGTAATGTGTGTTTTTGTTGGGCGTTTACATGTTTCTTTTTGGTTGCCCCGTGGAAATATGGAAATCCTAACCATATTTGAGTAATGTTTGTTTCTGCCAAGCTTAGCACATCACCTTTCCAATACACTTAATACCAATGAAAACATAGTTGGTTGCTCATTTAAAGAAATACAGGTTAGAACTTTCCACGATGTACATTAGCTGCAACTGATTCATGACTATAAATCCTCAGTTTGTAACTTTTTAGCCTATAACTTTTAAATATTTTGATTGACAGAAAAATAAATAAATAAAAATGTGTATTCATGATTTTGTCAGCCTTCACAAAATATTGCAGTTAAAATTATGTCGTGAGATGCATACTGTGAAAATATTGTACAAAGATTTTGATATTGTTACTTCTCTATTTCCTACAGTGTATTTTTATTTTTACAATTGAATATACCTTCATTGAACAATCTTTATTATAATCTATATTTGTGTTATTGTTGTTGCTTATGTTATAATTTTTTTGTGCTGATATCTCTAGGGGTAAATGTTTGTTTGTCATATTTTAATTGAAAAACATAAGAAAAGATTTAAAACAAAAAACAGGAAAAACACGTGTCCTTATTCTGAGCTGGCTTGAATCTCCACAGATCTGACTGACTCCTATTTCTCCAGGAGGAGGGTCTTGTTACTTTGTTGTTACTGTGGTTCCTTTGGCTGTAATTTTCCACGGTATTACCATGGAATCATGTGGTGTGTTCCATGCATGTTTCATGGAATTACATCATAAATTCACAATTTCTTCACTCAGCTGGTTTGCATTTACTTTTTGAGGAAGCACAACAAAAGTGCCTGGCTCTTGGCTCTAAGAGACTGTGTGAAAAAGTGAGAATTAAGGACCGTTTCATTTTGGCGACACGGTCTAACATTTGTCATTGCTGAAAAGGCTCCAGATTTCTCAACAAAATGACTCGACTTATTTTCACCAATTGTCTGGAAAATGCATTCATAGTAATCTTATGTAACTAAATGTGTTACACAAAACCCACCAAGACAAATCAATAAATATATCTTGATTCCTTAGCATCTCACCCCTTATCTACTGCGTACCACAAACACTCTGTTGCTCAAATTTCATGTGTCCTCTTTTAACCCACCTATTCAGCTTTATCCTGCATCTCTGTCCAATAACCATCATTCATCGCATCACCTCTGAGAATCTCAACACTACCGCAATTGTCTACCTGAAGGCTGTGGAGAACCAGAGCCAAAGCTGTCCACCGTCTGCCGCCACACTCCACATCTGCACTGCCAGGGCCTGTGCTAAAGGTGAACAGCTTGAGGTGGTGTGTCCTATGTGATCTCCTGCCAAAAGAAAACATCAGCCTAGATACTGTCTGTGTATGCAAGGCTCTAGTTAGCCTTTTAGGAAGCAAACAGAGATAAACATTTATGGGATACCTCTTCTGGTGCACTTTTACCCTCAAACACACACACTTCAAGTTTATTATAGTGATTTGTATTAGCATTGAAGGCACGTGTATTTACTTGTTACATAACACTATACAAATCATAGGTTCACGACTGGAAACAATGATGCCATGTACTCTTCTGTGCTATTATGACCACACATTAAGGGAAGGCAGACATGACACGTGTTATGCTAAAATAGTAAATCATTTTTCTGTTTTTGGAGTTCTTATAAAACTCATCTCTTTCACCTAGATCGTAGAAGCTGCAGACTTTACGAGCTAAAGTGAAACATTACAGGTAAATTGTAAAAAAAATAAATAAAATTGATATATATCAATTTGAAACTTGTTATGTAATTTTCTTACAAAATTATTATTATATAAAACAAGGCATTAAATATGTAAATAGCCCAAACTTGGGAAATACAAATTTGAAAAATGGAATGAGCCAGATTAAAATTTCTTGCTGCATTTTCTTGTTAAGTTTTGCTACATTTTGTTGACATATTAGATTTAAAAAATGCATCTCATGACCTCTTATGCTGCATTGAGACTTTTGACTGAGACACAAAGGCCACTGAGACGTGCAGTGTAAATGTTTGCAGCAAGAAAACTTCAATTTCCCTCCAAATCATTAAAGTCTGTCTCTCTCTATCATTTCATCTTTTGGAGTTAAAATGTATATTATCAATACATTAAACTGGCAAAAATGAAAAAGCTTTGCCTGTATTATCTTGCTTTAAACTCTTGTAATCTCTCAAATTACATCTATCACAAAACTACCTTTCCCAGAGTTCAAAAATACTAGAAAAAAGGCTGTGCTGTTGTTCATGTTTGCTAATTAAGCCATCAGATGGCCACATTGCAAGAAACACTTTAAACTAAAACCCTCTTAGGTAAATCAAACATGCAGGGCACTTTACTATATTGATCCATACATTTTCATATCTTCACCCATGACCTTAACTCTTTTGGCCAAGGTAGTAGCACTGTGCCAGATTGTTTACTTCCTGTTGCATTTAGTTCTTCATAAAAAATTGTAAAAAAATATATATATTTGCAATAATTAAAAAATAGAATCAAGATACAGTAAGTAATAACATTTTCAGGTTGCAAATTTCCAAAGTAAATAAAAGATTGGATCCTTTTCTACTAAAGAGCGGTATATATCACATTTGAAAAGTAGTAATCACAAAAGCCTATTTTTAACTTATGAAAGGCTAAATGCTATAATACTCAAATTTACAGTGGTGCGATTTTATTCATGCCAAATGCTCTTACCTCTCAGTAGTTTATTCAGTGTCACCCTGTAAACAAACTTGAACCACCAACTCCTTTCACCTTTTTGTTATCTGTGCTCGCAGTGAGGCCAACGAACTCTGGACAAACTCAACTCCCCAAAGATTCTGCTTCTGCCAACAACAGCATAAAGGTGCTGTAACAGCCAACAGAGGCAAACACGAGACACGGTTTCATCATCTCCCACTCATAGTAGTAATTAATAACTTGACTGGATCATAAATATAATGTAGTAGAATATAATTAATATAATTATTGCCCAATAACCTGAATTATATATTTTATAACAGACTACGACTATACAACTGGTCTCTCCCTTACATAATTAGTTACACATACTGGGGCGGTGTGTCTCGTGTGTGTTTCGTGCTCTAAAAAAAATCAGCAAATGTCAAATACACAGGTGCACATTAACTCATACATTTTTATTTCCCACTTCTGAGGTAAAAAAAACAAACAAACAACATACAACTTTAAAGCTTGCATTTGGCTGTACAACCTCATACATGATTCAAGCTAACATTCAAAACATTTGTTAACACACTTGAGTTGCAAAAACATTCACTGGACAACCCTGTTTCAAAATGCAACTGTTGTGCAGATTGCAAGCACCAGAAAAAGCATACACAAATAAAGTTTACAAAATGTCATAATAATAAAATAACAAAACATCTTAGTGGTCAAGCAATACCTCATATGACCTTTTACCCCGCCACTTTATGCATGCTTGCAGTCATGAACATAACGTATTGCATTGGTATTATACAGTACTGTGCAAAGTTGTTATTTCAATGTATATTTGAAGAGAAACTTAAAATAATCTCCTAGTTGGTTCCGTTGAGTCACCACAAGTCAATATAATATTTATCAGTTATAAATGATATTGTAACTTAATGCTCATCATTCAGTGAAATCTTCTGGTTTATGTCTTTGGTGCAGAATCCCTAAAAAAAGTAAGGATGGTATTTGTTAAGGATTGGATTTGTTAAAGGCGCACTATGTAACCTTTCAGTGGGGGGATCCAACACCTGTTTGTCTCCATGGGGTTTTTATTGCTTTGTCTCAGATATTACACAAATTGATCGATATATGCATATATTCAGTTACAGTTGTCTATATAGCTTGAAAACACCTTAGAAAAACATGCACTTGGATCACAGATCGGAACTGTAACTTGGTCTGAGATAGATCTGTTTAACAGAGGCAAACAATAACCATGGAGACAAGCAGGTAACGGACCCTCCCTCCATCCAAAAGTTTCATGATGCCCCTTTAAGCAGTTTTAACTATTCATAATCCTCTGCACAGCACTCTACATCCCATTCAGTAAGCTGGTGGAGTAGTGAACGGTCCTGCTTTGAGAAGGCATTAAGCTGAATAAACTTTAATGTCGAAGTGCTCAGCCAGGAGCACTGCCGATGAGATCAGTCTCTGTTTGGTCTCAGTCCGATTCACTCCCTCGGTTTGTGGTGACGCCTGGCCAGCCTTGCTCTCCTCCGTGCTATGGCTGTGAAAACAGTCAACAAAAAGATAAGCACAAGCAGTACTATCTGTGTTCAGATAGTACATATAAAACATCCCAATGCCTGTCACGTAAATTATCCAGAATAAAATGGCAACAATTCTTTTAAAACTTTTCACACTGAAATTTTTTGGTTATCCTAGCACCACCAGATCTAAACAAGGTCAGTAAGGAGGTTATATAACCACACTGAAACAAGGGCTAAACCTGGGCTAACTATGACTAAAATACTTCTAAACCACAAATAATATATGGTAACAAAAATATGGTATTGAATGAAAAAAGCAATAATGACAAGAAACCTGCATGTACCTGTACAACAGTCTGAAAAATCTGGCAAACACAGTGCCAAAACCAATGCAATAAAAGTCAGTAGCTGACAATGTTTTTCTTTTTTTTTTATCACAGTTGTCATTAAATGGTGTTTATGGATGCCTCCCACTTACCTTGGGCTTTCCTGGCAGAAGCATACTTCCCTCCTTCTGTAAATAAACCACAATAAAGCCATGAACACGTTTACACATTTGACACATCTGATCATCAGTCATCTATTATAGTTTATTTACTAACCTTTAATTATTTTGGTAATTCTTTCTGACTCCTCCTCGATCAAATCTGGGTTGCCATGTATTGTGGTAATTTTAGAAAAGTCTGGTCCTACAAATGAAATGTTACTGTTAGATATAGGCAGCATTGCCCTTCGCTTTACAATGAAAAAACACATTCAGTAACCTTCATCTCATTAGATATTGAAAGTAAAAACAAAGAAATACATAAACAAAAACAAACATGTGTTGCCTCCCAGAGTAGTAGTGTCATGTTTTCTTTCTGAAAACAATCATCATTCTGCAATTTAGTTACCCAGAGATTTGTACCAATCAAAAGAGTAGCTTTCTACCCACTGTGACTGTTATCAGTGAACAGGTTACTTCAAACAGTCAAGTCTATGGGAGCAACAGTGGACCAGAGCTAATCCTCCGCTATAAAACCAATCACACCAAGCAAATAATCTGTGAAACAAAACCATCTTGTTAAAACCTGGAAAAAATGTTAATATAGAAAACCATACCCTCAATGATAAAGGGCTCGATGACAAGGCCGGGTCCTTCTCCAGGGGGCACTGGCGGGCAGCGGAGAAGGGTGTTCAAACTCGGCTAAAGTTAAACTGTGCAGAGACAGACTGACAGTACACACTCCTCCTCCGCCACCGCCAAGCAACGTCACACAACACTTATGTACACAGATGCAGAGTGAATGTGATTGGATGGACAGGCTGCGTTCACAATATCGTGCTCATAATTTTAGATGGTTATCAGCCTTTATTTAAAAAGTTACTCAAGTTATGTACTTGAGTAAATGTAACAAAGTACTGCCGGTGTAATCCTTCAGTCATCCAGGTAGGATCTATACCAAAAGAAAAAATCTATTCTGTCAACTAGTCAAAAGTTTTCTAGTGAAGACCTTTTGCTGCTCGTCCAAGCTGCTTCTTCAGTTCTGATCAGAATGCTGGTGGACACTGCCTTATATCTGTCTGAAGGGAGGAGCTAATTACACTGAAACTAACATTTATTTGTCTACAATTTCTGTTCGTTAGCTAGTCTACTGAACTGCACTAAGTGTGATCTGTACCTCACTATCCTCAAAGGAGTAAGTAGTGGCTTTGAGATGGAAATGTTCGACAGACTGGGATCCCGTGCTGCTCTCACGCCGGTGTTGGCAAATTCTCTTATGTAGAGGCTGTTTTGTTTCTCCAATTTAATGTTCACTGAATGTAGTAGACCACATTGCTTTGTTTGTAGTTTGGGGATTTTGTCCTTTGGGTGAACCAGTTTCTGTCTTAATGTGACGTAATAAAGTACTACTCATTTAATTTTGGAGTTATTAACCATAAATCAAGATAAAACATATGCATTTTGACAGTTTAAAAGTAAATTCTACCATAGACTTCTGACCTGGTCTTCACAGTAATGCATTCAGGACTCGTTAGGATGTTATGATGTCATGTGAACGCAACCTGTTGTTTATGTTAGACCACATGCCCCCAAGTGAAGACAGTTTGGTTACAGTCCACTTGCTCCTTAACCACAAGCAACAGAGAGAGTTTTAAAGGTCATTAAAGATGACCACAACATATAATGCATTAGATCATGAATGTGTTATGATATGAACCGACATACAGATCTTGATGCTCCATTGCCAGTACAATAACTTATAGAACATTTAGCTCTGTTTGTACAAACACAATAAACTCCCACAAGCTTCGTATATTTCTAGTGGCGTGAGGCCAAACACAGGTCTAAAAGTATGGTAGTGTTCAGAGAGCGTAGCAGAGCATGTCCTCTCTGTAAAACACTTCCAGTCCTGCATGAGGTTCAGAGCTCAGGGAAGATTTGTGCTTCTCCCCCACACAGCTCCAGAGGGAGACCAGCACAATGGGCCCTGCTATTACACACACACGCACCCGGCTTTGTTTAAGTCAATAACCAACGGGTGGGTTACAGTGAATCCACAAACCAACAACAAAATGAATGACGACATGTTATTCACAGTTTCTGTTATCATATCTCCCTAATGCTACCAGCACAGTAAGATGCACTCACTATGTAACTTTCCTGGTGGAGGGTATTGCCACTGAAAGCCCAGATTATTGCCTTTCCTTGTATGGTATTAAATTTCTCCAGACAGGCAAGTAACTCCTGGGGCCTCTCCATGGGTCAGATCTGTGGAGAGCGGACGCCTTTCACTGTAAGGATGCCTGTTTTAAGCAAACAAACTAAACACCTATAATCAAATAAATGCAAGATATATGCTCTACATTTAATGTCATACTGCAGAACATTACAGTCAAATCAATAATATAACAAGTGGCGGACCCTCTACAAAAGAAGTTATACAGTGCACCTTTAAGATTCTCTCTCATCCATTATTTAATTTATTTTATAAGCCTTGAGTACTTTCACAGTTTTAGAACTAGTAACGACTGGCAGGATGCACCAAAGAAAGCCATATGTCTGAAAGTATTGAATGAAAACCCAAGGGAAAGTTGACCATGAGGCAATGAGTTAGATTGACCAGACCATGTGTCAAGTGAGCTACATTTACAATACTATACCAGACTGACCTGCATTTTTCTGTGCATCAGCTCCTGTACATGACACAAAAAGGACAACAAGCCAACATGAATAAACATACATACAATTATTAAAAAAAATGTTGTTGTTCAACAACTGATGTACCCTGAATCACTCTTGTAACTTTGGTAAAAGTGGGCTTAACAACTCTGGTGACTTTGGTGATTCCTGACTCGCCCTCCGCCACCACCATGCTGGTACTGGGCTCTGTGAATATAGATGAGAAATGGCCATTAAGAAGTGAAAGGCTGTCTATCAAAACATTAGTCCTGAGACCATTGGATGATGTCTACATGCACTTTGAGACCAAAAGGACGAAGAAAATATAATAAGGTTCACACTGACCTGAAAGAGTCTTTTCAATCTTTTCAAACTCTTCTATGTAAAGCAAAAAGTATGATGTCAATAAACTTATAAGGCATTTAAACATTTAACAAGGTGCATGCACAATTGTCCGGCATGCACTGGCTTATTACATTTACAGTACGCCAGAATGATTACATTATTGGCTGTTGTAACATTAAATTGTAATAGTTCATACAGTCCTGGTTTGAGTCCCGTTTACTCCTGATTTACTAGACTTCTGTCTTATTGCTGTCCTGGTGGAGTCCAGGTCTAGGCTGAGTCCCAGTATTGGCCCAATTTTGTTACAGCATATATTTAAAAAGTCCACACATTGTTAATCTTACAATGTTTTCATCTTCTGTCCACAGTCATGCATGTATTGTATTTTCAATCATCCATGGTGAGTTTATCTGACAGTTGCTGATACAGGCTCATATATATCATAAATAGTAGTAGTCAGACATAAATCAGTAGTTAGTTCCAACTCACCTGAGATAGTCTTCTCGATCTCCTCTACATACATCAAAAAGTACAATATTAAAACTCATAATCCCATCCCATTATTCAGAGACATAAAGAATCTAAACCAATTCCAATAATGAATAAAGGTCAGATTATAGTTTTTGCCAACTTTGTAATTCTTTTGTTTATAGACTCAAGAAACCCTGTGAATCATCGAAGGATAAAAAAATGGGAAGATTAATTACTTTTCATCTCCAACTTACCTTTAATAGTTTTCTTTATATTCTCTAAAAAAAAACAAAATCTTATTACATCTCATCTGGTAAAGCAGAATAATGTGCACTATAAACTTAATGGAATACTCACCTGGAATCTTCACATCCCCTATATCAGGTGAAAGAAATTGCTTGTAATTTGTGATGAAAAACAATACATTTTATGATTTTAAAGTAAACAGACATACCCCCAATAACCCTGGTAAGTGTACTTGGGTCCGTGATGTCCGTCTCGACCCGGATCTCCGTGACCACCGGCTCCGTCTCAATCACCCGTGTTACCTTGGTGAATTTTGGTTCACCCTCGATGACCTGCGTGAACGTTTTCTGGGATGGTTCTTCAATTACTCTAATCACCTTGGTTGTTTCGGGCACTAGGGGGAGAGAGGGAGAGAGAGAGAGGTGGGAGAGGTGGGAGAGGTGGGAGATTGAGAGAAAAAGAGGGAGGGGAACAGATGGATATGAGAGAGAGGCAGATAGATGAAACAGGGAGCAAGAGAGAAGAGAGTTACAGGGGGTTAAGAGAGAGTGCGAAAGACAAATAGAGATAAAGGATAAAAGAGGAAAACACGAGAGAGGTGAGAGAGAATGAGGTGAGAGTGAGAGAAAGTGAGAGAGAACGAAGAGTGAAGCAGGGTGAGAGGGATTAAGAGAGAGAGAAAAACAAAGAGAGAATAAAAAAGACGATTGGGAGAAAAGAGAGAGAGCCAGATAGATGAGTTATAGAAAGAGTGGAGAGAGATAGACAGAAAGGGGGGCGAAAAGGCATGCAAGAAAGAAGATAAAATACATGTAGAGTTATCAGCAAAAGTTACCATAATGTGCTCTGAATATATGGCAAAGTTGTGTGAACTTTTAGACTCTGAAGCAAATCTAAAGTGATATACAATGGATATTGGGTTACAGAAAAAAAAAAAAAAAACAAGTTTGAATCGTTTTTGTTTTGCTTCATGGTTGTCAGACACTGTCCATGTTAATTGTACAGCAGCATGTAAAGACTCAGCTTACACATAGGTTCGCGACAGCAATTCAAAGCTGAACTCGAACTCCAAGTTGAACAAGTAAGTGACCTCATTGTGGTTACACCCTTTGGATTATAGTAGTGATGATGACTAAAACTTGAAGTACTTTTCTTAGCTTTTAGGGACCACCACAATGAATCACCAGGCTCCCGCGGTGCAGTGTTTATGACACTATTTTGACATTTCTTCTGGATGCTCTTTCAGACGATGTACTGTAGTAACCCACTAGTGACATAACTAAAATGTAGAAAACATATTAACCAAACCAGTGGTTCCAAACTTTTTATTTTTTTTACCGCCTAAGCTTTGTTTCCCCCTTCAAGTAACCCCTAAATTGCGTACTTTTCTAAAGTAGACAAATAAATGTTTCCAACTTACTCTTATAATTTATTGTTGGATTGTTTTATGTCTAAAATCATCCTACAAAAACATTCTTAAGGTTGTAAAATACACTCAAATGTACACAGTTTTGTTTTCCTAAATATGAAATCATTCTAAATACCCTTAGTAAGTGCTTCCATACTCCCACTACTCGTACCCTTGGTTGGGAAAGATTGTCTTAGATGATACAGACTCCATTCCTGATGTTTATTTAAAGAATCAATAATGGTATATTCAACTTTGTATCAGGTCATCTTTTTCTTACGCTCTGTAGATCAATATGCCTTACATTACCTCTCTGGGACAAACACTGGGAAGGGTACGCTAGATGATCTACAACTTTGGACAGTCGTGTTGCAAATTTCAAAAAGTGCATTTTGATGAAAACACCTGGCAAAAATCATATATTTCTCATCTGTTGAAATATGATGGCTAAAGACTTGCATATGTGGGTGCTTGCATCAGACTCTTTTTAATCTCTGGCTTGAGATTCTCTGAAACTTGGCCTTCTCCAGTAATGAGAGCCAGATCAGATCCTCTGGGGGTTTCAAACCTTTTCAGTATGAATAAATTCACTGTACCCCCTATACTCTGCTTTGATATACTGTTTAATTATAGGAAAAGACTGTGAATTGTCTGTTTTAGACTCTGGAAGGTAAGTTAAGAGGCAGTGTCACTTTTTGGCCAAGTCACGGAGAACGAGATAATTGAACCAAATTAAATCTTGGATGTTCTCATTTCAACTGTGTAATCAGCGTAACAGAGAAATCAGTTTTGAGTAAGTGAACTATGTCTTTCCTATGTCACTTGATACAAAAAGGTGTATGTACAAATCCACTGGACTGATCCCAAAATTAAAAATTCCAGTACTGTACTCAGTCTACAGTGGGACCTTGGATCAGAATGAATGTGTAATCACCAAGAAGCAGAGTTACAATCAGATGAACACAGTGTATAATACTGTCTTACGAGGAGAAATGGAAAGATAAAAAAGCCCTGTAACTGGGATATAGCTAAAGGTTTGTGAGCATGCAATGCAAAAAAAGGTCTACCTGTTTCAATATAGTGTGTGGTTGTGATCGTCCTCTCTGTAAGGCAAAATGGAAAATATCAATTACGTATTTCTTAAAAAAACATTATTGTAGAATGCAAATAACTTACTGATGAAAGTTAATGGAATTTCTGAGTATGAAAATCCAGCTTGAAACTGGAAGGAAAAAGGGAATTAAAAATGGGCACCGATATAAAACATTTTTCCTCATTTTCTATACATGTATTTGCTGTACCTTAAGTGTGATGTACTTGATAAGCTTCTTCAGCAGAACCAGGATGTCCTGACGGCCCACAGGGAGGTCTGCGAATAATATGCTTTATTACATAGAGTTATAGCGAAGACAAAACATAAGGATTTCCATATGAGAAACCTAACATGAAGTCTAAGCCTGTACTTACCCCCGGGATACAGGACATTTTTCACCACATGCACAACGCCATTTGTGGCCATCAGATCACTGTCAGGGACATTTATGGAGTTGACATGAATGGTGTTATTCGCCTAAAATTTAAAACAGAAGACCGTGGATTAGACGCAAAGCCAAGCATAAAAAATACAACCACAGTCTATAGTTAAAGGTGTATTATGTAACTTTTCTGGTTAAGGGTCTGTCAAATGCTTTTCTCTATTAAGATGTTATTGCTTAGAATTTCATAGTATAGTACTGAATCTTCATGGAGACCAAACTAGGCCAAGCTACAAGTCAGATCTGTGGAGAGGCAACCCCGCTCAAAGTCAGAATGCCCGTTTTTCTAGGTTTTTGAGCTATAACACCACCTTTAATTTTTTGATTTAATAAATGTGAGATGGAGCTGTTTAATGTCATACTGTGTAACGTTCCAAGCAAAGCAATAACATATTCATAGAAACAAACAGGTGACAAACCCCCAAGCGAAAAGCTACGTAGTGGACCTTTAATATAACACAAACTCCAAATGTGCTACAGACAATGCTATATCATTTTTTGCTTTTTACATTTTGCTTAATAATTTTTAATCTGAGCTTTGTTTTAACACAATCTGACCATGACGAACTGACTTTGTTGGAACTAGAACAGGTGAATATATTTGTGCTTTGTCCTACTGAAATAACATTAAAGTTACAAGCTAGATTGTATTAGGCAACTGTTTTCATGCTCGCTCATATTGATCACAGGAAATGTGTTGTTTAAATCCATTTAGTTTTTTATTTATTAATTTTTTTAGTTCAGGCTAGGTTTGCTAATGTGTGGATGGTGTCACTATTGTACCTGCTGTGACACTGGGTAACCCCCACTTCCAGTTTAATGTCAGTGCAAAAGATCAATATTTTTCCTCCCAGTCTTTTCAGAGTAAATTATGTTCATTACACATTTCTATAGCTATTTTACAACCAACATTGTATCATGATGTGTATTTGTACGTACAGACATGACTTGGAGGTTGTTTCCTTGCATACTCTTGAGCAGATTGGTGACTCCTCCTTCAAGCCCTCCATTGATGAAGACACCGTTGCTGAAGTGGTACAACAAAATGGTCCTCAGCACATTCACATCACCTGTCAGTGACAAAATGCAAAATAAGATACATATACACTGTTACATTTTTCATGGATTTGGATGCATTGAGATAACCCACTTTTCAGCAGGGCAATGTCGTCTTGGGAAAGTTCACTGAATGCCTCGTCTGTCGGGGCAAAGATGGTGTAGGAGCCCTCCTGTCGCAGTAGGTCAGTCAGTCCTGCTGTCTCCATCAGGTTCAAAAAGATCCTAAGAAATTTAGCAAAATATGTGGTTTAGTTGGGTTTATATTTTTACACTACATCATCACGTCATCAAAAAATGTGAGAAAGTGAAATTACTAGAAAAAGCATAAATAATAATTACTTCACCCAAAAAATTTCTGTCTGCAATAAAAATGTATTTAAAAATGAATTTAATATTTCTAATATATAAAAAATCAGTAAGCATGAATGGTTGTACTCTGCTATGGGATGATCTTTTCAAGTGGCACTCAGTAGTGTATATATTAAAAAGTTTTCCAGCTATACAGCTATGCATTAAAACATATTAAACTGTTTAGAGAAAACCGTCAGGTTCTGTTTCTTTTCCGGTATTGAACATGGGATTTACCTGAACCGTCCATCAGTGACCAAAATCTCATATAGAGATTTCTCTGGCACATTTATGATGGTTCTCAGAAGATGCAGGGCTCCATTGCTTCCCTCCTTACTGCCACGTATCATACAGGCATTTTCCAAGCACACAGCCTGAAAACAGATACAAAGATTGTTATTATGTACTAACACATGTCTGGTAACCATTTATCGTGAACAATGTCATTTAGCCTGTCTTTTCCAATTGCAATCAATAGAGATAAACACTCTGGGTTGCTAAGGGAAACATGAGACGGCTGGTTCTCATCTACAAAGAGATTATCCACCCTGTACTGTTCTAATTATTTTAGTTGACTTCATTCGTTGACTGTTAAAGGCATCTAAACTACCTTAACAGTTGGGAAGGGACAGAGAGATGGCTTTAATTGTTTTTGAATCCATATCTTTACATTTTTCCATCACTAAATCCTTCATTTATTTTTTGTTTTTTCATTTTACAAAAACTCACAGCACTATTATATTGTTTTATTGACACATTACTAGTAATCAATTATATTTTTATTTAAATATTTAGATTTATTTAAATGTATGTTTGTACAACAATATTCAAATGATGAAAAGCTCAGTCTGACATTATATTCTTCAGCTTTTCTTCATCAACCTTTTGTCCATTTCTCAAACTGCTACTCTCTACTTGTTCAATAGATGTAGATTTATAAAATACACGTGCACTGATCTTCTTATTGTAACTGTTAAAACTGCATATATCAAACTCACTGTGCGGTAGATGAATACTCGGAGGAGTTTTCCAGCCAGTGTCTCCAGAGTCTGTCCATTATAAAGCTCACCCAGAGTCACCTTCAGCTTCAGGATGTGGTTCTCCAAAATTTGTCTCAGCTCATTTTGGTCTGTGCTCATCACCTCATCTGATAAACAAGGTATTTACACATATTTAGTGCAGTACGAAATGGCTTTTGCAGTCTAGTTTTCCTAAAATGTCTAATTAAAATTACTCTCAATTCAAACTGAGTCTATTTCTGAACCCTTTGGAGCACAGACAAATGGCTGGACGCTTTGTGTAGTTTTGGCCTCTGCTGTCTGAGGTACTATAATGTTAAGTAGGAACAAGCTCTGCACAGAGGAAAGTCAGATTTCAAATTGCGCCTGAATTATTGGGGGTAAATATAACAATGGGCATAGCTCATGTCCCAGGGGAGGATCTATTTGTAGACAGTAGATTGAGCATTTGTTGGGTCAAAGCTGAAACATATCTCACAAAATGTTTTATTTAAGGACTTGTAATTAGGCAAAAAGGTCCAGACGCAATTCATATAAAAGTCCTATAAAAATGTTTTTTGGTTATATTTTTATTTGTGGATTTGGGTAAAACCAGTCCAGATTTTTCTCAGAACTGATGGAAAATAAGTGGGTTACAGATTTCTATTAATGTTTTACATGTCTATGAGAATGATCGTCCCCTTTAATTAGAAGCTGGATGAACAGAAATTAATGATTAAAAAGTAGAAGGGCCCTCATGAGCTCCCTTGGAATTTTAAAAGACTTTTAAGTACTGATTTAACTTTAACAAAAGTTGAAAAAGTTGCATAAACAAAGTGAAAAGACTTACTTGTAAAGGCAGAGTTCAGTGGGGCGAGCAGGGTGTATTCTGCTTTTGGCCCCAGAGCTGCAGCAAGGCCCAGTTCAGAAACCATGTCTGTGAATGTGCTCTGTGTCTCCCCTGTCAGCTCCATCACCTCTTTAGCTGTAGATTATACAATATATGCAAATGTAATTTCTTCAAATATATATATAAAAAAACTGTAACACTTTACAATAATGGTACATGAGCTAATGCATTAGTTCATCATGATTCATAAATAAATGTTTCTGCAGGCAAACTAGGGCTGCAAAAGAAGTAAGTAATTATTATTATGGAAATATTAGCTTATCAAATATCAATATGACAAAAAACTATATATTCTTTGCTCAATGTTAAATGTGTTCAACAAATATTGCATTTTATTCAATCCAAGTACATCAGCTGTATAGTATTTACCTGAGTTTGGAATGAGCACCTGGTCTATGAGGTGGATGACTCCATTGGTTGTGACGATGTCTTTCTTCAGGACCATCTTGATGCCGTTGACGGTGAGACTGTCTCCGTCACAGCCGATCTCGATGGTTGTCCCCTCTGCAGTCTCATACAGTGTTCCTGCCATGATCGCCTCAGAGCACTGCGCGCTGGTCAGGAGGTGGTAGTTCACAAGGGCTAGAGAATGGAAGAACAGTTATGATATCGGTGGGTGATAATGATATTTGTATTCTCTCCCCATAACTATCATCAAATCATATCCATGCAATCTATTAGAAATGTGCTAAATAATGATGTTTTATATATTTTATGTCCACTTATATTTTGACACTTTTATACATTAGATTATTTTACAATATATTCAAATTTTGCATATTTCACAAATAAATTGCAACTATTTTGATATTAACTTATAGACAATATATCATTCACCTCAAATAAGCATTTCACCCCTTTGGTAAGGCTGATAAAACTTTGAAAGCCTTGTTATTACAAAAGGATAAGGAGGGATTATATGTCGTGACTTGTAGTTTAAACTAACAAATTATTTTAGCCTGGACTGGATTAATAGTCTTTATCCAAATACCACATAGTAATGCTTAAGGATATTTTCATAATGATCAAATAGCCCCTCTAACATCATGTGGGATTGGTTGAAGTCTTTTGAAAACCTTTTATTCACTTATGTCAGTGTTTAGAAATGGCATTATGACTGTGACGAGATCCAACTGTTAAACAAAAAGAAAATCTGGCATGCTCTAGCTAGCCTTTGCCTTACAGTTATAATTTCATAAAACGCACATTCGAATTTTAAATGTAATCAGTGTCACAGCAGGCCCAGGCAAACATGCTCTTGGACAAACAGAGCAGCCATCTTTATTTTGGATGATGTTCTAACACACTGTACTCAGGCGCCAGTGTCTGAGAATTTACAGAATCTACGTTTTTTTGTTTTTTTTTAGTGTTTTCCCAAGGAAGCCACGCACAATGGGCAAAGAAAACTTTAGGGTAGCAAACTTTTGTCGCTGACCAAGGGCTGAATCAACAAGAATATCATAAGTTGTTGTTATCTATGTGGACAGTGCATATGTGTTTAAAGATGTAGTCAAACCATTGTGTCAGTGTAGATAACAAAGGAAAAAGAGGTGTATTTTTGTGATTTAAAAAAAATTCACTTACAGAAAATATTTAGGCTACTGGCACAGCTATGGGATAGAATTGCTCCTCACCATCTGACTTACTGAATATTACTGTTTTCTATTCTGTCAATTTGATTAACTTTGGCTGATGATATGACTAATACATTTGGATATTTAATTTGACCGTGTCTGTCTTCTTAGTGTTTGGTGACCCTGAGAGTCTGTAAAGGAATTTTTTATTTATTTTTTTTACCTTGAAGAACGTCATTATTATCCATGATGCGGTCAATGTATCCCGAGGGCAGTTTAGCAAAGGCATCATTAGTGGGAGCAAACAATGTGAAATGTCCAGGTTGGTCCAGTTTGTCAATTACACCAGAGGCCACAGCTACAGTCTTAAAAGGAAAAAAAAACAAAACGTTATTTTAGAGGAAATTCAATTATTGACTCATCTAAGAATTTAATGTATCCATAAATATAGTGCAATGACAGGAATTAAAATTGAGTATTAATGGAGACAATTGCACCAAATGAAAGCTATGCCCAGGCACAGGTCTTTACATGCATTAGAAACACTACAGAGGTTAGGTCACAATGGAAAAATAAAAAGCCTTGTCAAAACATCTGTATAAATCTGTATAAATCTGTAGTAATTAAAGATGCTCTATGAAACACTCCATATTCAGGTGCTGTTATTGCCCCCAAAATTCAAATAATTCTTATTGTGGTTGAGTGTGCCAAGTCTCATGCCTTACTGTGGAACATTGCAGGCAAACCAATCCCATCTCTGTGTAGACAAGCATACGCTCCACTAGAAAAGTTATACAGTGCACCTTTAAAGCGCCTATAATATTTAACATTTGTAAATAATTTTAATTGCTTCTATGTGAAGTTTGAAGGTAAGCGTGACATACGTTGAAGGAGGAGAGCTCGTCTGTCACTTCCAGGAAGTCTTTGATGTTGTTGCTGACGGTGCTGATGACACGATCGATCACATGGACCACTCCGTTTGTGGACACCTGGTTTCCATGGATGATCCTGGCACAGTTCACTGTCACAACCTAAATACACAATCAGTAAGTTAATAAGTACGGTTGAAAGGTATGGCAGTTTCCTAGGAGCCAGCTCATTAGGACTGACACAGTAACAAAGCACAATATATTGCTACAGAGATAAAATGATAATACTGTATACTGTAACTCCTTTATGCCACTGACCTAAAGCAAGATAACCCCATTATCATTGTCCATATCAGTAAAAGCCCAGAGCTCAAAACAATGCATGGCAGAATTAACTAATAATTAGCCACAGAAGTTGTTTATTCTATTCACTATAGCTCTAATCTTAGGTTATTACATAAAAATGGCAAAAATCTCTCCATTGTTGTAAAGAAACTGTATACACAATAAATATTGAGCCCCAAAATATATTGTTTCAGCTTTCATGTATTGAAAAGTAATTCAATATAGTAAACTTATGGCCTTGGTTCTTTTTGGTTGTTTTTTCTTTTAAAAGTTCACACTTCATTGCAATTGGTTAATTCCACTTGTCACGCACTACATTGCAGAAACTGATTATTAAGAAGAGTGGGTGTATATGAATAAAATAATGCTTTTGCTTTTACCAGATTAATTAACAATTTTAACAGTAACATACATAACACAATAACAAACAACATTTTCCATAATAAGGCTATCTTAAGTTGATTTACTCACCCCGTTTGGATAGTGGTTGATGTGGAGCCCCAGGTCATTGTACATAGATTTGACTGTGATCCCGTCCCTCAGGTCTTTGGTCAGAAGGCGGCGGTTCACCATGTGGTAATGGAGAGCATTGAATAACTCAATGTTCACGTTACCCTCCAAAGCAGATCTTAGATTCTGGAGAAAATTCAAAGTGCAAAACTCAAAACTATTCTATTGGACCATTTTACAGAGATCAAGTTAAGAAATACTTGTATAATAATGAAGACTGGGTATATAGATAATGTGCATGAAGTCTACTCACTCTGTCTAAGTCGTCCCAGGCGTCGTTGCTTGGTGCGAATAAAGTATAGGAGCCCTTTCCTTCGAGCTCCTCCCGCACTTTGGACATATCTGCATACCTTTGGGTTGTCGTTGCCTTCACAAGACCAAGTGTGCCGTAGACATGTTCTATTGGAGCCACTATATGGGAAATAAAAGGTTAGAAAGTGTATGAATGAATTATCTCTCATTCTGTTATCCAAAATATTAATCATTCAGAGTAGTATATTTAAGGTGCATTATGTAACATGTAACATCAGATAGAGGGTTTGCCATCAGCTTGTTTCCATGGAGATAAGTCTGTGCATTATACCTCCGTGGTAACATCCAGGTGAAAAAACCCTTTTCCAGAACAGCTATGTAAAACAGGTATAAACAATGTCTTAACCATGAGTAAACATGGCAATACCAGCTAAAACCAACAAATTCATGAGTGAACCAGGATTACATCAGGTCTAAACCAGGACTAAACGTATTAAATGTGGCCTAAAACTTGTCCCTGTACCACATTTTGAGAAGCACTCTGACCTATTGCATTGAATGAGGTTGTACTGTGTGCACATCCCACCTGCAGGACAGCCCTTCATGCCCTCCAGCTCCATGTATCCAGGACAGCATTCGTACACAACCGTCCTGTGGAGAAATAACACACCAATTACTCTCATGTACACTGTAAATAGAGTTCAGGTTAGAAAAATAAAGTAGCTAATTGTGAATAATGGTTCAATATTTAGTGATTGGAATAGTCAAACAAGTGAATGAGATATTGCCTTATGCATAACGAACCATAATTGGGCAAATCAAGTTAAGAAAAAAACAAACCAAGGGTCTCAGATGAAATGTGATAAAAACAAGGAAACAGCATGAAAGTTCACTGACACTTCCAGAAAAATGGACACAGTTCCCAAATGGCTCAAATCTGGGGCGTGGTGTACATGAGGACAAGGCCAAAAATGTTTTACTTTTAACAGGCAGCTGAGTTTTTGTTAAAATGGAGAGAGAATGATTCACGATACACACAATAATACAAATGATGTAAAATTACTTAATAACTTTATTTTCTGAAGCGATCTGTCACTATTCAGCTTAACCCAAAATGCTGCTTCTCCTTGATCTGCTCAACACAATGACCTGTTTAGACTTCCAACATACAAATTATTTTTAAGAACCATTCAATGTTTGGACAAGTTGACTGGCACAGACCTTGTGTTGATGTATACTTGCAACCGTTTCCCCCCCTTTTATTTCACTAAAACAGGTTGTGAGTATGTTTTTTTTTTCTGAAGCTGACTGTGTTTATAGCAGTTGCAAGAAGGCTAATTCCTTTAAGCAATGGATGACTAAGATCTAGCATCATATCCCTTCTTGTGGGGTCATGACAATAACAATGAACAACTACAAACTTAATCTCAAAAATCTCATGGAAACAAAACGCTCTATTCCTCCTTATACCTAAAGGGCCCATATTACGCTGTTTTCTGATCCAAGTTATAATGTTGTTTCCACATCACAAACATACCTGGAGATGTGTTCTTCTCTCAAACTGAAAACACTCTGTTCCACCTTGTGATGTCATGTGGTAATACAGGAAGTGCTTCACTGTGTTTTTAAACTCCACACATCTTCAATACAATTATTTGGATGATTTCAACCCTGGTATTGCCAATCTTAACTGAACAAAAGATAAAAAGGTAGCTGTTAACTTGAAAACAAACATTACATGACATCACAAGGTGGAACAGAGCATTTTGAGCTTTGGAGACATAGACAGACTAAGGATGGGTATATTTTTGATGAGGTAGCATCATTCTAACATATCTTAAAGAATCCATTTTATGTAATATAGGGCCTTTAAATCTACGTTTAAAATCACAAGTTTGAGTCAACTGTGTAACTTAGTGGGAGGGTTTCCAATAAAAAAAAAGTAGAAACTGAGAAAACAGTAGTTACATCAATCCAATACTCATAGGAAGTTCATATGAGGACTGCTGTAAGCCTATGAGAAATCAGCCATCCCTTTATAGCCATACACAGAATGAAGTGCCTGCAGACACAAGACAGAACTTCATACAAACCAGCGCCTAATAAAGCAATAAATTATTCGTTCTACTCCATCCTCACATTCAGAGGCACAGACAGTGATCAAAGTCAGCTTTTAGGATCTCTCCCAAAATGAGCACACATATTCCAGGATCCAAATAATCCAACAGTGGGACGGGGATCTGGACTTAGTTTAATTGGGGTTTTACAAAAATGACTTGGCAGGTTTCAGTACTGAGGTTTTGCTTATTCCTCATTAGACTTTCAGTGAGTCTTTAGGCTTTCTGTTCGCTCATGGAAAAAGTATTTATACATGAACTCTGTGCTATTTAGACCAGTTACTGCCAAAGTAAATAACATTTGTCTGCACAGTAATAGTATATGATGGATCACTCCCTCTGGTTGTACAGTCACTATCAGTTTACTCCCAAATATGAATCACATGTTTAGTCTGTAATTCTTGTACATTATTTGTTGTTGTAGTTTTTATTTTGGGGATTTTGTTGTAGTTTCTGTTGTTTTTTTTATTTTATTTAGATTTTTACAAAAATGTTCAGAATACTTTCTTATTTACTGACCAGTCCTCCTGTTACGCTGCTCTGAGACCTTCGACTGAGACACAAAGGCAACTGAGAAGCGCAGTGTAAATGTTGCTGCAACAAAATTTTAATTTCCCTCGGAGATCAATAAAATCTCTCTTTCTCTTTGTCTCTGATTCTCTCTCTGTCTCTGTCTTTCTCTCTGTGTCTCTCTATGTCTGTCACTCTCTACTTTGTACAAAATTAAAAATTGTAACCATATAAATGAAATGTTTTCAATAAATACAGTTTTTTCATTTCAGGTTGAAAGTGTAATATATTGTCATAGTGTTAGCATTACATACATTTAAGTAATAGCAGATTTAGACTTGTATAGTGGAAAAAGCCTGTATTATTTAGTTCCATCGCTGGCCCATAGAACAATAGTTTCCCACATAGAGGTATTGGACATGCAGAGGATGAATGTGCTTAAGCAGCTGGCTGTCAGTGTCTATGAGGTCACTCTGACAGATGCTCCCCGCTGCCAGGCCTCAGCTCCGTCCCACTGGAGAAACCCCAAAACCAGAGCCAGACACATGTGACCTATACGAACAGTAATGACAGGGGGACGAGAAAACATCACATTTTCCTGTTATTATGCAATGTATATAATGGGTCTACCATTTACACAAACTGACTGTAATTATTTAGTAGTTATTTATTTTTCCTTTACAATAAGCATTAAGTCAGTGTGTTTCTAGCATCACCACCTGCTCTCAGTCTGTCATCTCCAGCCATCAGTGTAATTGTTTCCAGCTGATTTTCACTCACTGGAAGCAAATTCAAACAGAAGAAAAACTCTTGACATTAATTATCTCAATAATAAGCAGCTAGCATAGCACCCAGCAGGCACATTTCAATACAAACATAAATAAATACAGGCTTTTTGAGTATTGTTACGATGTTGATAATTAGATAATATATTTGCAGTCTGTCTGTAAAGTATGAAAATGTGTGCCTTTAATTTAAGGTTCACTTACTGCCGTTGGCGTTTAGGGCAGCAACAAAGTCTCTCAAGTTAAGTGGTTCAGGTAAAAAAAAAAAACATATATATCTTTTTATAATGTATTATGATATACATGGTAACACTACTGCACCTATAACACAAATCACAATCCTGTATTTTATTTTGTTATTCCCAAATATAAATAAATCATTTAAAGAAATGATGCAAATCATGAGCAGATGACGGCAGGTGAACTGATGTGGTGAACTGCTCTAAGTCAAGAAATGACTTAAAGCAGATGTGCAGTGCAGCTGTGGAAATGGTTATTGGCTATTAGTAAAACTTTTATTAGTCCAGTAGTTCCAGCAAACAGCATCCTTATAGCTTTGGCAATACATCTACTTTGCCGCACATACAAAAGGTTTGACAGAAGAACAATCACAGCTACAAATAATTTCCAAAATCACTTCCATTTTGTTTAAAATTCCATTTACATACTCTTTTTTGATCAGTACTTGAAAAAAAAAAATGTTTAAACAGTTATGTACATTCAACATTTATGAACATTCAGTTCTACCATATCAGAACTTCAGCCTTCTTATTACTGGCCACTGTGGTCACAGTTACTAAGTAAGTTATGTTGAACTTGATAATAGTATACGATATCAAATATATACAATAGCCTAGACAGAAAAGTCTTTACATATAAAAGTACAGTGGCTACTAGTGGGACTGGATGCAATTGTATCTAAAATTACAATCTGCCAGTGTATTGCTAGTTGGCTAGTGTTACTGATAATCCCTGCTCCATATTGAGCTAGAGTAAAACAAGAATGACAACAGTATGAAGTCTGACTAATTATCAAGACTTGAGTGAGACCTGGCTCCAACTGGTCTCACAGACCCAGACCCTGAAGACCCAGAGGACCCTGATAGACAGCACGTCGGCTCAGACTACAGCTGGACTCTGGCTCTGCTCCACTGACCCTCAGCAATCTCTACAGCAGATGTCATCTGAGGAGAAAAACTTTCTCTTTCTCTCCATTATTCTGTTACGAATAAGCATCATTTAGACCGTTATTTGGTCCATGCATATTTTGGACTATTTATATAAACTTGCTGTCTATATATTTTCCTGTGTAGTAGCTACAATAGTCAATGTAACAAGTCTAAAATAAACCATAACCAAGAGCAGATCAATCAATCACAGAAAAATGGCATCTTGGGCAAATGCAAGCGGGAGTGCCAGCCCAGGCACCCTCTAAGGACGAAACCAATCCAAGCAACGAATTCAGAGATATATCGGAACCTACTATTACTGCTATTATTACTGCTATTACTGCTACTTACTGTATAAACCTCAAGGCAGTTTAAAAGTCAACTTCAATTTCTAATGAGAACTTTAATTTAACAGGCAATTTCTTTTGATAACCCCGATAAGATGCCACAGTACTGCTATATATTGTCAGCTGGTACTCATATAAAGTTTTATGAGCACATTGGGTTTTATTGCCCCTCACTAGCAAGTGCGACGAAAGGAATTCAAAATAGTCTTATCAACTACCTGGTTTTTCTACATTAAATACAATCCATCTTTCAAACACCTGTTTTTCTCACTCAGCATTTAACAGTAGGATTAAACAGCCAAGGCAGGTGTATCTGATACAACAGTGAGGGATGTGAGTGAATCTTATGAGTGTACAGTGCTCCATGTGAGCCCTACACTCCATCCACATAACAGCAGCAATTACCTGTCATCGCTCTGTCACCAAGCAAGTACCTAAACCATTTACTAAATAAAACTACTACACAAAATACCTCTGCAAAATAAGCATGAATTTTGACCTACTATCACCAACACAGAGGTGGGCAGAGTCGCCAAAAATTATACACAAGTTAATATTTGAAATTGTGTCCACAATGGGAAGAGAAACCAAAACTGTAACTCCAGTACATTGCAAAAAATATTTCTTTTGTAGGAGTAAAAGTAGAAGTACCACATTATAAAAAGTGTACTTAGAGTGACAACCAACCACCAACCTTTTCGATCAGCTGTAGCAAAAACACAGAAGATAATGAGATGGATCACACAATCATATCCTACTTCAGCTTTTTCTGAAAAAAAAGCACTTCTATTAGATTTTACAGAACAGAAGTACATAAAGGTACACGTGGAAGTAATCAGTAACCATCATCCAACAATAGTCTAATGTTGTTTTTATGGAACAAATTGTACAGTAAAACCATCAGATCAACAATCACAAACTGTAAATCTAACTACTACTACAACTAACTATCACAACCTGAAGTGTGGCTTCAGCAATGTAAAGGGAACATCTAATTCACTTTGATACACTTTGCCATCAAAGACTCTGCACACACCCACTGTTGTGGGAAAACTATATTTTCCCACAATAAATCTGAAATTAAACGTATATTATTACAATGTACTCAAAACTATCTCAGAGTCAATACACAAAAGTCATTTGTTTTCTATTGGTGTCAAGCAGGACATAAAGAAGCTATAATGTTCAACTTAGCAGCCAAGTACACAAGTACCTGGAGGACAAAACATTCTTCCGACTATAGGGGGGAAACCTGTCCATCCATCATAATTACCTTAAAACACAACAGCTCAGAAGCAGTAGCCTCTTGTCTCAACCTGTTTAAAGGTAAAGGGGCTTCTTTAAATGTCAAGAAAAACCTGTGTGAACTGTGTAAAGTGTCAAATGTTGTAAGAGAATAGAGCATTTCAACTGAGAGGAACCAATGATGAAGATTCATGGGATTTGTCAGGACTTACGCCTTCTTGCCACAGATTGAGCCTTTGTACCAGTTTCGACATGTGCTGAAGTACTTCTTCTTTGTCCCCAGGACCTGCTGCAGGGCACACATATTGGGCCTGAAACACAGAGGGCAGTGAGATGAGCTCTTTCAACAGTAGGGAGAGGTCAAAGAGCAATGCCAAGAACAAAGTGGATGCTTGTTCAAACTAGGAAAAGCTGGGTAAGAAAATGACTCATATCTTCAATATTGCCAAACGTTGTTTCATTTTTAAAGAATAATTAGGACTAGAACACTTAGAAGACAGCAAAGTTAAAATGTACTAAAAGAGGGGGAAGCCTGGATGAAGAAAACGCTAGAAAAAAAAAATCTAATATAGTTGAAATAGTCTAAAGAATCAGGTGTTTCTACCTATATAAACTCCAAATGAAAATTTAAATTCTGAACTTTTATCCAGTTGACAGAACTGCATTTTTGTTTGCTCTGAATCATACCTGGATGACAGAGGGATTACATAGACATCTATCTACATAAAGCTATATAAATGTTCAATATATATGTGAATGTTTCATTATAATATAATATATAATTTCCCTCTATTTGTCTTCCTAATATTTTCTTAGGCAATCTCTCTATCCCATTTTCTCAGATTTGGGACTGATTCATAAAGCGCTCTAGCCTGATGTTCAGTTCTTCTCAAAATCCTAATTATCATGTAACATAAAAATTGTTCAATTCTAAACAACTTTTAACATTATTTTTCATTCAGCTATTCTAGTTAGGTTGTACATCTTTTCCATGATCAGATCCTTGTCTTACCCCTGACTCCTGGCCCGGATGCGGCTGTGTGACACTATCTTGTCATAGGCCGAAGAGTCCGCCGTTTCCAAAAAGCAGAGCGCCCCCAGCACCAGCACCGAGGCCCCAAGCAGCAGCTGCATCCTGCCCCGTCCAGAGATACACAGTCCAGAAAAGGCTAGTAGAAAGTTCTCTGCCCTCTACTCAATCACACACACATTCACAATAGCAGAGGAGGGAGAGGGAGGCTTTATACCAACAGGTCCTTGCACCCACCCACTGTCTCCTCTATATGTCCCGGCAGCATCACACCCCTCTCCTCCTACACACGTGCCTCCATCGTGAATTTGCTTTGCACCGTCTCGTCCCAGCACACCCAACACTCCCTTATGTTATGGTTTACATCATAGTAATTCTCAAATACGGGATGTCTGCCACTACTACACTGGACTACTAAAATGCTTTGAAATGTGTCCCAGGAGCTACACACTGCACTACATTATACAGACTATAAAGTATACTCTGCAGACTATAAAAGGGCATATAAGTGAACCAAATAGTAGACTGGATAAAATTGAGATGTCGGCTATTTTATGTTACATTTTTAGATTTGAAACATTTGTAAAGGTCAATGTATAACGGTCTTTTACATAAGCAGCCACACATTTTTAGCAGTATCTTACAAAAGCCCCCTACTGTAGACACTCTTTGCTTGAATAGTGTTTAGAACAAATATTAATAATGATGATAATACAGTAATAAACATGCTCTTTGTTTGCTTTGAGGCCTGAGCTTGGATATATATGAGAGTTTTGTCTAAGCAACAGTGTGTTTTATAATACATAAACAAATATTCAAAGTTAAGTGAATATACCACACACTGGGAGGGAGATGATTTTCTGGTGAAGTAGAAAATAGAAAGACCAGTCAGCAGTGGCTTGCTATTTTACTTTCTACCAGTAGGGGCAGTGTGGAGCTTTTGGTCAGCACAATACAAAAATGACCTTACCTCCACTCTGTTCCACTGACTTGGCTACAGGCCAGAAAATACACATATATTACTCACTACACATACTTATACTGTAATTATCAAATGCCAAAAGTCAAAAGTCAAACTGTACATAGTAAAGCCTATAACTTTGAAGCTGGAGTTAAACATGACTATTTTTATCCCTTCTCTTCTGCTCTTTACACAAATCAGATTAATTCCCCTGTCCTCCCCTTGTAACCTGTTTGGGCTCGGATCCTCTTGGGTCTCTTCCTCGCTGTCATGTTCATCGTTCATCAACTCCTGTATTCTCTCTCGACTTTGGCCAGATCTGATTGCGCTTAAAAGAAACAAATCCCGTCAGAAATTGAATACAGGTCTCATTGAAAAGACATGTGCAATGTTTGGAAACTATGCAGTATTTATAGCTTGGTGCGAAACAAAGTTAGAAAATACGAATACATTTTCTTAGTTACCTCAAAACTACAGGCTACAATATAAATAAAAGCATGAACAACATAGTTTATTATCTATAGCCTACCTAAACTGACAACTGTTACTTTTGCAAAATACAGTATGCTGCCACTGAAAACTTGAGGGAACGATGGCAGATAGATACATGTCATTGTAATGCAGTCTGTTTTTATTTTCTAAATGTTATATTATGTTATACCATGTCACCATCTTTTAATAAATAAAGAAATAAACAACTTTTTTTTTTTTTTTTTTTTTACCTTTTTTGCAGAATTGAGCGTCAAAACCCTTGACAGAGCACAAAACAGGAGCTTGGAGCGCACATATGCATGCTCTCTGTAACAGCACCTCCCCCTAGTGGAATCAAAATGCCATTGCCAAGTTTGATGTAGATCTGAGATTGATGGAGATACAGTATGTGATAATGTCAATAATGAGATCTGCTTCCTTTTTTATATATATATATAAAAGCCACATCTCAAAATCAGATAAATCAGATAAATAAAATACAAACTGAAGTCCCATGTCTCATGTTTAACACTTTCAAACCTGATGTTGTATTTTCCCTGTGACACCCTGCAGCGGCCTAGTTAAAAGCTCCATGCTCACCCTATGAGCACTGCGCTCTGAGTCTTTTGATCACACACACAGTTTCATCATGTGCTGAATATTTCATCTGCTTTCAGATGCCTGGTCACTTATTCAGTGCGTATATAAAACTGCTGAGTTGAGTGCTGCAGAGGCAAATGACAAAGAGAAAGACGCAGAAAACTTCAAAGAAAATAAAGGTTTCATCTTGAAGAGCTCAGACAAAACATGACTGAAGAATTTGTGTTTTTTTTTTCTCTGCTCACTTCAGATATTCAAATTTAATATTGCAGGTCTCATAGGAAAATAGACCCCAGAAAAGATACATGGCGCATTTTAAATACCGTGACTAGACTATCCCACATAGGAATATGAATGATTATATAAACTAAACCATGGCTTATACTTTATCAGTAGAAAGATTCAATTAAACAATAAATGCAGTTCTGATGAAAATAACATTTTATTGTTGAGCTGAGCAGTAGATAAACCACGAATAATATGTTCTAGGCAGGCCACTCTACCTTTAAATATAATGCCTTAAGTTGAAATCTTAAATAGTTGACCTAACAGTAGCAATCACAATCCTAGGTTTTTGCATAGAAAAACAGTGAAGGGTTGAGTCTTTGAGGACTGCATGCCGGCGTAAAGTTTAAAGTGCTGAGACAGACAGAGTAAGGCAGAGAGTCGACCAAAACAATACATATTGCTCAGGAGAAAGAAACAGGGATAAAAACTGGACATTTCGGGAGGTAGAAAGGCCAATGCAGAAGAGAGGACATATAACAATCAGGTGTAACATTATAACCATCTGTGAGCGAATGGACAGGTCCTTCCTTGTTGGGTAAGGGAGATCAGTACTAAAACTAGTATCATACTCATTTGACGTGCTGATACTGAAAATACGAAAATTTAGTTATATAATTATAATATAACATAGGCCTGATGGATCTGTTTAGAATTAGTATTAAACTACATGGTAATATCAAATAAATTATGTGATGACAACTACATTCTTTTGTCGTTTTCTTTTTTTTTTTAATTACTATTTTCCTTAGTAGTGAAATTTTTGTGACAGCACTACTTTCTTGTATATTTTCATGTTGTGCATCAACACAATAGCACTTCACAAAAGCTGCTGCTAAATATTCTGACCTAGTTGTCCACACATTCAAATCTTCTTTATTTCACTTTGTATCAACACTTCAGCAAAGTCTCCCCATTACAGTTTACCCCAAACACAAACCGGGGTCATGTATAAATACTTGTGTGTCATTCACTTTCAATGGTCATAATGTTACTGGAGTATATCAGAAAGATTAATAGACATTTCAGGTATATTTGATTTTTTTGTGTGAAATGAATCTGTATTATATATTTGCCACATACACAGCTTCATTTGTCACTGCAATAACTCCACTGAAGCACTCGTACAGTAAGTCTGACAAACCCACTGCCTCCCTGAGTCTCTGAAGATCAAAGCTGACCCATAGTTTAAAAGTATAAGACTCTTTCAACAATAATGCCACAGAAATGAATAATCCTTCCTGAACCATGTGATTGTCAGCCTCTCTCTCCACACTGTTGTTTTGAATTTAAAAATCTGAGGTCCAGTCAACCTCTGTTCACAGATGAAAAGTTATAAATAAGTTATATGAGTTAAATAGAGTGGCAATAAATTAAAAGTTACATCCTTCAAGAAAGCTTCCCAGTACTGCAAAATTACAGCTAATAATTTTGAGTTTGTACAATGTGTAGAATACAGTATAAGACAGAATGCAGTTTCCAAATATCATAAAACCACATTTTAATCTCACATCAAATTCATGTCTCACGCTAATAGCTAAATCTAGAAATGATGAATCGCTGATGCTAATGTGAATAAAATGTAGTTTTATGTGATGTACAAACAGTTTCCATTTCCTTGTATGCCCCAACCTTTTCAATTGAAGGTGACTTTTCATTCATTCCAAAAGTTTCTTCCGGTAAACCAAAGCATTATTGGTGCTACATGTAAACGCAGTATTGAAAAAGAAAAGCTTAAACAAATCTGCTTAGACTGTCCCAGAACATGCTTCATTACATTATAGTCGTTTCCATGGTGTCCTCTGTCTCCTCACTTTTCCCACAATCCTCCTCTTCTGTGCTCTCAGTTATATGCTCACTCATACATGACTCCTCCTCCTTACAGTGCTCCAAGAGAGGTCTGCTCACACTACTGTCCGCTGATAACTTTGAATTAGTCTCTTCTACATCCGAGCTCCCAGATTCCCCATCCTCCTCTGATAAAGAGTACATTTTCCTGGACGTTTCCCCACCAGAACTGGCTGTATCGTCCAAACCGCTGCCCCTGTGTCTCTTTTGGAACAAGCTAAAGTCAGTTTTCCTCTCTCCTGTGTCTTCAGTAGCACCGAGTGGTAACAATCCATTGGGGAGACCGTTGGAGGCTTCTGGTGGTCTTGGCGAAGAGGCGCAGCACTGCTTAAGGATAGAAGCAGCCATTTTGAAGCGGTTTATTTTGGGTTTGGTCTGGGAGGAGACTTTGAGAGATGCGTTGGGATATGCCAGGCTGGAGTCCATGGAGCTGCAGCCGGCTTTAGCAACAGGCAGAGCGGGTATACCAGTCTTCATCATCCCCATTACCTCATAACGGAAACTGGAGATGTCCTGTTTCAGCTCCTGGAGTCATAAGAAATCACACATGTCAAATTTTATGGTGACTTTTTTTTGGGGGCTTTTTTGTTACCTCCTTAATTCAATTGTAGACTTTTTTTTTAAGGATGAGCTCACACATTCACAAGTTTGCACTCATATCAAAATAGGAATTAACCCTAAAATAAAATCTGGACTACACTAGGACTAAACCAAAACTAAAACTGGACCAGTCAGGACTGAAAGAGCACATATTACACTGTTTTCTGATCTATGTTATAATGTTGTTTCCTCATCAAAACATACTGGAGTTGTGTTTTGTTTCATTCACACAAACCCTGCATAATTAGGCAGAGTTCTTCTCTCAAACAGAAAACACTCAGTTCCACCCTGTGATGTGGTAATACAGGAAGTGCTCCACTGTGTTTTAAAACTCCATAC